TTTGGATAAGGGGCTCCAACTAGATATATGCCGAGAAAACTAAAAATTCTTCTCCCTGTTCTTTTGTTTTTCTCCATTCAAAATAGCAAAACGAGAATTTGTCCATATAACTTTTCCCTTGCCCTTGAAAGGATTGGCCACAAGAGTGATGAGCAAAGAGGCCTTTTGTTGATGAAAAAGCACGTGGGAGTGCAACACGCTGAAAATCATAACCCATAAACTGCTAATAAAAAAGTGTAGGATAAAAATAGGCAATTTTATTTTTTCTTTCTTGCCGAGAATGTACCATGAAGGGGAAAAATCAGATCTAGGATCCTTTGCTATGGGATGCCGGGACGGCGGGACCTTATTAATTAAGATATTGTCACTGCCCAAGAAAAGAGTCAAGTGACTTTTATCTTCTTTGGGCATTTTATTTGCCTTCCATACAACTTTACATAAATCTTTTTGAATAATCATGAGAAGCTGTTAGGTTTGACGTTTGAGAAAGATTTCACTAATGTGGTATCTTTGGTTGGAAAGGAATTCTCGTGTTTTTGAAGATAAGTCCTCTACTTTTGACATTTTTTTAGGAGTGTACAGTACACTGTCTCCTAGTGGTGCATCAATTATAGGAAATTCTTTTGTAACTACGACCTTTCCATGGTCATAAACAATTGGAAAGAGATTGTTTAGTTTCTTGGGTGGGGTTCTCTCTACCCAGCCCTTAGGCTGTTACCTTTTGTTTTTATGAAATGAAGAATGTTTCTTATCTAGAAAAAAAAAGAGAGAAAGATTTCACTAATCTCCTCTCTCTCTCTCTCTGTTTTTTTAATAATCTCAATTTGGGCATACCTAGAACGTGTACAGAGATGGATGGCTTGATGTTTAAATTTAGATTTCCAATGTCATAATTTTCATTTTATTTGGATTTCTTATCTGTTCATCCAATGAACTTTCTTCTGTGACATCGATCCATATAAAATAAAGTAATCACGACTATTTAAATCATGTAGGCAAGGTTCAGGAAGTGCTTGCCGTAGCTTATATGGTGGATTCGTGAAGTGGAACATGGGAAAAGTAAGTGCATTCAAATTTGTAAACTTTGCAACCGTGTCAGGAAATCAAGTTTTCCTTTTAAGCATGTAATTATGATTTCTGGTATCTATGAATAATATTAGTTCTTACGTTTTCTTTTTCTCTTGTACTGTTGTTAAGGAAAAGGATGGAAGTGATAGTCTTGCAACTCAACTTGCTGACGAAAAGCACTGGGATGATCTTGTAATTATCATTGCTGTGGTGTGTAGCTTTCCTCTCACTTTTTTATTTTTACTTTTTGCTGATAAGAAATAAATGTCATTTGATTTTTAAAAAAGGGGAAAAAACATTCTCCTCTACAGGGGAAGTGGCTCTTGGCTTGGATAACGAAATGGAACGATTATTCCAAGGCCAAGGAAACCAACCTCGAAACCAAAAATATTATTATTTTTCATTGTAATTTCTCTTGGAGTTGTGGTTCCAATCCAGAGTTTACAATTTAAGTTGCCTTAGAGCCTGTAGAAATATTATGTCTTGCAATGGTGTATACTTTAGAGCTGACAAAAGAGAGAAGTAAGTACTGAAACTTTAAAATAGGGATAGAGGGATGTTATAACTATGGTAAATAATATACTATTCTAGAATTTTAGTGATTATGTGAACGGAGAATTTTCAGTGGATGAATCTCATAGCATACTCAGGTTGGAGGGAACTGTCAAATTTAGATGTTAAGACGAAAACCGATGCTGATTCCAATGGAAATAAGAGCTTTGCTACAGTGATATTTGAGCAACCCAAACAATACCAGCAATCTGAACAGCCCTAAAGTAATGACAGATGCTCAAATAAAAGCTTCTAAGATAATAAGACATCAATTAAATACAATTCTTTTAGCCAAAAGTTGGCATAGTTTTCTCTCATCTTCTAGTTGTCCTTTGACTACGTACTGATTATGGTTCTCTGGAACCTAATATGTATTTTTCTATCTTATTTTTCAAGGTAAGTTCACGACAAAAGGAAACAAGTAGCACTACCGGTATGCGAGACACCGTAGAAACAAGTTTGCTTTTACAACATAGAGCAAAGGTATTCTCAATCGTTTTGATTCCTATTGGATTTCGTATTTTTATGGCATTAACATACCTCGAAATTTCATAGTTTCTTTTCATTCTAGGTATTTTCTTTTAATATTTGCTATAACTGAGTTTTCTGATTTGTTTTCTCTTGTTGTTTTCAATGTCATTTTAGTAAAAAAATCCTTGCCCATAGTCTAGGTACATTTCTATTAATGTCTTTCTCTGTTGTCTCGTAATAGGAAATTGTACCAAAGCGCGTGTTAGCTATGGAAGAAGCTATTAAAAATCGCGATTTTGTATCCTTTGCACAACTGACATGCAACGACAGCAACCAATTTCATGCAGTCTGTCTTGATACTTCTCCCCCAATATTTTATATGAATGATACATCCCACAGGCAAGCTTAAGTTCTTTCCTTCTTTCTTTCTTTTTAAAGTTATCTGATTTACCTATGATATTCCATGACTTTCTCCTACCATTTTGACGAAAATCTTTGTTCCATTCTGACAAGAAACCATGTTTCAGGATAATCAGTCTCGTTGAGAAATGGAACAGTTCCGAAGGAGAACCTCAGGTTTGATTTTTCCCTATTCTTGACGCATGTTGGGAGAGACCTTAACTATTGTTTTGTTTTATGTTCTCCATTTAATTTTGAGATGGTAAGTTCTTGATAATTTTCATTAGTTTCCAGTTCAGAAAAATAAACCAAACTTTCCTTAAGATGAATGAAAGGCAAAAGGGAGAAGAAGCCCATAACAAATGATAGCATCTCAAAAAACAATAAACAAAAAGAAGATTTCCTTGCAACTTACCTACACGAATTGGTAAACAGTTTTGCTGATTTCTATCAAACTTCCAGGTCGCATATACTTTCGATGCGGGGCCAAATTCGGTTCTAATCGCACGTAATAGAAAAACTGCTTTATCATTGCTTCAGAGGTTACTTTTCTACTTCCCCCCACATCCAGAAACGGAGTTAAACAGGTAACTGGATTTCGAGAATCAATCTAGAACTGCGTTAATTTCAATCTTGTGCATTCAACTATCACGAGCATTAACTTTTTTTCTATCATCTGGTCTTAAAATTTATCTCGTTTTTTATCAGTTATGTTCTTGGTGACAAGTCAATCCTTCAAGATGCTGGTATAAAGGGTGCTGAGGATATTGAATCCCTGCCACAACCTCCAGAAATTAACAGTTCATCCCAGAAATACCAAGGGGATGTCAGTTATTTCATCTGTACCAGGCCGGGCAAAGGGCCAGTCGTGCTCCCTGACAGTGAAGCTTTACTCAACCCCAAAACTGGGCTGCCGAAGAACCTCTAGAGGATTTTATTAGTTGTCTGCTACATTTCTACTGAAGGTGTGACTCTGAAAGTTCAGGATAGATGATCAATCAACTGTTGGAGCCATTTTTGGAAATATGCAGTTTCGAAGGTAGACGTTTGTTCGTTCGCTTGAATGTAGTCGGAATAATTTCACTGTTCCTTGTTGTTGGCTTTTAAGAACGGGAACCTGTAAGTTTGTATGAACATTTGTTAGTTACTCATCGTCCTGCAAGTTTAGTGTCTTTATTCTTTGATGCTTCTTTTTTATGTAGGTTAAGCTTCCATTGTCAAACAGAGTAGAATCATAATAAATTAAATGAGTTGATAATGATTTAGGTGCTCTTTGATTTAATTTGATGTTCGAGATTCGAACCTTCGACCTTCAATAAATAAGTGATGTCTTGATTATTTAAGTTAGGCAGATAAATCTCGCATTGCTTGATGACCATTTTTCATCATCAAATTAGGACTATTTTATTATTTTAGCTTCAGGATGAATTTTGTAATCTACCATTCAATAATTATAAAATTTTAATTACATGGATGACATCAAAATAATTTTCAGCGTTCAATATATATTCAATCAAATTTTAAAATTCAAAAATCATATAGGGAAAATACTTGCAGAGAACATATATATGTTTAGATTAAAGGTCAAACTCCTCTACTAAAAGTTGGAAAAAAAAATCATATTACAAATCTCTATTAAAAAGGACAATTACATACAGTGGTTTTCTGTATAGAAACGACAACATTAGAAGGATCGAAAAAATGCTTTGTTGTGTCATGTCGGTTTTCGATACACATATGATATAGTATTTTTTGAGATTGATATTTCTTTTGCTATTGGTACAATCACCTCTCAGGAAGTTGAAACAGAGCCAAATTTTGTCTCACTGACCTGACCAATCTCTCAAGTGAAATGTCTATGATGACACTTTCCTCTCGACCTATCTTTTTAAATGTAAAATACTCGAAATTATATGACTGTAAACAGTGGAAAGGGGGAATTTATAAATATCTAAAGTAAAGGGGCCGAATGGCAATTTAACAAATTCAAAAATCTCTTTATAACAATCTATCGTGTACCGGTGAAGAACCGGACGAAGAAATGGCGGCAATATCTCGCCTGCAAGTGCATCTCCTCCACTTCACTCCTCCCGCTCTCAAATCGTCTGCGCTCTTATCAAGATTCCCTCGCTCCTCTCGCGCTTCTCTGCGAAGATTCGTCGCTCTTCGCCCTCTCTGCTCCGTCTCCGATTCGACTCCTCAGGTTTTTCTCCGTTTTCTTTCTCATTTTGAATGTACAATCATGTAATGTGTTCATATGTTTCACTATATTGTTTTCTACGTCTTATTGTATGCTTTATAGAGTTCGTCTTCGGAATCTGGATCAAGTTCGAGCATTGTAGGAGATCTTATCGACTATCTCAATGAGTCCTGGACTCAGTTTCATGCTACAGGTATTTCGTATTCAATTGTATACGTATCGTCTTATATCGCTATGCTTTTTGGTGTTTCGATTCTGTTGAAAGTTCCCTGCGTATTGGCTGGCTACTAAACCCTAATTACTTCCGCTAGTTTTTGATTTCGTTGATGTGAACTTTTATTATTAAATTGTTACGAGTCGATGTGTTTGTTTATTGTTATAATTGTGCATTTTGATCTGTCCTTGACTTCTCACCTTGGAGGCTGAGTTTTAGACTTCTTGATGGCGGAATCTTAGATACTTTTTATCGCAGCTGAAGCGAAGCGGCAATTAGTTGCTGCTGGTTTTCGTTTGCTAAACGAGGATGAAGAATGGGACTTAAAGCCTGGTGGATGTTATTTCTTTACACGAAATATGTCTTGTTTGGTTGCCTTTTCGATAGGAGAAAAGTGAGTTCTGGGGAATTTTCTTCTGATTTTCATTTCTCCACCTTCAAAGATTATCAAATAGACTGATCTAATTTTCAGATCTGCTAATCACAGCATATATGTAATTCAAATTACGTGGTTTATGAAACTACAAAAGAAAGATTGGCTAGTCGACTACTTGATTTGTGAGATTTTGCTCGTCTACTCATCATTTCGTAGCCTTCTTTGTAATTTTGTTTTAATATTGTTCAATAATATTTTATAATATTAATGCACAGTTACAAAGAAGGCTATGAACTTATGAGTAGACAAGAGTGCACGGATATTGATATCTATCTATCTATACATACTCCCTATTCACCCTTAATTTATGAATTATGTCCCGAGTCATAATTTATAACAATGTTATATAAATATGTTAACTAAACGTTTCTATAGTTATCACCTTTTATCTTTATGTTTGAATTTTCTACTTATTTCTACGATTTCCTACTCTTTTGGTTCCATCTTGATTAGTTTGGTTGATTAAACCTTATCTCTCTGTTTTACAGGTATGTTGCTGGTAATGGATTTCATATTATTGCTGCTCATACAGATAGCCCATGCCTTAAATTAAAACCCAGGTCTTCATCAAGCAAGTGTAATTGTCTAATGGTCAATGTGCAGACATATGGGAGTGGTTTGTGGCATACTTGGTTTGATAGAGATTTGAGTGTCGCTGGAAGGGTTATAGTGAGAGGCAATGATGGTTCATATTTGCACAAACTTGTCAAAGTAAGAAGACCTCTATTGCGAATTCCAACCTTGGCAATTCATCTTGACCGGTTTGTGCCTCATTGTTACTTTTTCATTTCATTCATGGTTGATTTGCTTCTCAAGTTACGTCTCCCTCTCTGCAACAACACGCACCACACAGTTATTAACTTATTATTATTCTTTTTTTTATGAGAAACAAGTTCTTTGGTAATAAGAAATTACAAAGGATGGTGGGGAAACTCCAACCCAAAAAGAAATTGCGAGATTACCAGCTCGTACAAAGCTTATTCAAAAGGTCCAAAGTGCCAAAGCTTGCACCATCTGAGGGAGAAGTTTGGACTTCTTTCTGAGTTTCCAAAGAATATTTCTAGTTTTTCTAATCACTATTAATTATTAGGATTATTTATTATCCTTGTTTCTGCCCTCGTGCTGGCTTAGACCCTTCCTTTGTTTGGTCCTGTTTTGTTCTGTTGTTTTTTTACTTATTCTTTTTATTGGAAGGTTAGTTCCTTTTTTATTTTTCATTAGTTAACTACTTTTTATCAATATTTTTATAAATTAAAAATTCAGATCTGGAAATTTAATATTGATTGATTATCAAAAGTCATTGATTATGTCCCCATCGGCACTGTATGGATGAGGTTTCGTGTATTTCAGTCAGTTTGTTTGATCTTTTCACTGGATAATTGACAGAATTCTCAATCTCACCTGTATGGTACTCAGACTTATTTTACTTTTAGATTTCCAAAGTTTGGGTTTGTTTACTTTTGGCACTAAAATATTTAATATCGCCATTATAAATGAGTATTAGAATAAGAGCGAGTATTCTTTTGACATATTGTTGGGGTTTTGGAATTATTTACATTTCCCTTTTCTTCTGGTCATGGCGCTCGTGGCTTCTTCAGAAAAGTGAACCAGGATGGGTTTAAGCCAAATTTAGAAACTCATCTTATTCCGTTGCTGGCAACAAAACTAGAAGACAGTTCTCTGGACTCAAAAGATAAAAGCACTGATGCATTTTTGAAGGATGCTCTACATCCACTTCTGAAACAGGTACCATTTGTGTTTCTATAACAACTATTAGGGTTTTTTTTTGTCCCCAAGGGACAGTCCAATTGGCAAGGACTTGGGGTCTCTTTTTTTTTTTTGTTTAATTGAAGAGGTTTTATGGGACTGAGGATGGCAGGGAACTTGTAATATCCAAACTAATTCTTTTGGAATACTTGGAAGGAAAGGAATTTAAGCCTTTTCATGGATAAGGAACAAACCTTTTATTGGTTTTTTTTTCTTTTTTTACACTATAACCTTTTTTGGCTATCTCTTGGTGTAAATTGTCTAAGCTTTTACATTTTATAGCTTTATATCTTTTTTTTTTTGTTTAATTGAAGAGGTTTTATGTAACTCCATTGGATTGGAGTCGTTTTCCTCCTCTTTTGTAATTTCATACCATCAATCTTATAAAAAAACTACCAATATATCATTATCAAGAATCCAAAGAAAGAAGAAAAACTATGCATGCTGCCCTTTGTGATCCGAGTGAAGTTCATGTTCTATGGACAATGGACATAAGCACTAAAATTTTATTTAGTATGAAATAAAATAGTAAAAACTTTTTTGTGAAAAAAAAATAATAGCAAACATCTATTGGAAGGTATCATAGAAAATTTTCATAAAATCTTATGTCTTGGTAGTTTAAATAATCTTTTTTTTTATTCTTTTTATATACACGATTCTTCATATGATTCAAATTTCAAATTGTTTGAATAGATTTGCATAAACATTCTGCTATTATTGACCTCAAATTTTTTTGAGTTGTAAATTACCTGTTGGTTGGAAATTGGAATGCCTTTGTTAATTAAGGTGCAATACTGTGAAGTTGTAGCTAAATCTAAAAACCATTTATGAGTCAGTACCTTAACTTGATCGCCAGGTCTTATCAGAAGAGCTCTGTTGTGCAGCTGATGACATAGTGAGCTTTGAGTTGAATGTGTGTGACACCCAACCTAGCTGTCTTGGAGGTGGGAATGAGGAATTCATTTTCTCAGGAAGATTAGATAACCTTGCATCAAGCTATTGTGCATTAAGAGCTCTTATTGATTCGTGTGAATCTCCTAGTGACTTAAAGAGTGAGCAGACAGTTCGAATGGTGGCTTTATTTGATAATGAAGAGGTAATATTTTTATCGTGTACTTTGTGAACTATATATAGATTGGAAGTTATGCATATCCTGGGTGCTTCTAATATAGTATAACTGTTGACTATAGTAGAAGCACGCTCATGGGCCCAATTTTCTGTCTGTCTGTCTCTTATTTATTTATTTATTTTGAGTTCAATAAAATGAGCATCTCTCTTTTGTTCATGTTAATACTTGCTTTTTTTTTAACTAGTCTTAGTATGATCATTTAGTGACACCTGTTTCCATTTAGGTGGGTTCAGGTTCAATTCAGGGAGCTGGTGCACCCACCATGTTTCAGGCCATGAGGCGCATTCCCAGCTCCTTAGCTCAAGGATATGTTGGTGAAGGTGCATTTGAGCGTGCTTTTAGGCAATCGTTTCTTGGTACGTTCCAATTCAAAGTAGAAAAATACATCTTTTTTTCCTTTTGGAAGGAACAACTACTATATATATTTAACGTGTGATCAAATTAAACCGATACTAGGAAAACTAAAAGATAACTCAGAGCTAGGCCCTAGACATGGTAATTTTGCGTTGAGATATCAGGCAGTAATCCTAAATTAGTTGTGAATATATGAACTTAAAAGGTTGGATTTTGCCTGATTTAGTTTTTCAATTTTGAATGTTTTACATGTAAATGACAATTATTCTTGATTGTATGATTTACAGAAAGGTTATTGTGAACAAAGCATCGGTAAAGATACTGTGTGTGTGTGTTTTTTTTTTTTCTTTTTGCGATAAGATGTGTGTTTACTTTTTGTTACATATATGATCATCTAATTTCTTCGCTATATAATATTATTTTGTAAATAGTTTCCGCGGACATGGCCCATGGAGTTCATCCAAATTTTATGGATAAGCATGAAGAACACCATAGGCCAGAAATGCAAAAAGGACTTGTCATTAAGCACAATGCAAACCAGCGCTATGCTACAAGCGGAGTCACAGCTTTTCTTTTCAAAGAATTAGGCAGAATTCATAACCTTCCAACGCAGGTATGTGACTAGCACTGGCTTCAGAAATTCTTTTTCAGCTTCAATTGTTACCCACCCTTCAAATCAAATCAAATCATGATAGGTACCATTATTCTAGCTTTTACACTAAATAAGTCCATTTCGTAGAATGGTGTTTACAGAATTATTACAATGACCTAAAGTATGCTGATTTTTTTTTTATCGAAATAGGTGAAATAGATTGAAAGATAAAAAGATAGAAGGGCTACGATTATCCCTAATAATTTGAAGTACTTCGAACCTCCCCTCTTGAGGTCACTCGAACCTAAATCACTCTAACAAATTCCTTAGCTAATTACTAATCCTTTCTATCTCATTAATAATCCTAATTATTCCAAGGCATTTCTATCATTTACATTCTACTCTTTCTGATTTCTATGTTTGGAAAGAAAGAAACAGCCGAATCTTTGAGGATAAAGTTATTCCTTTAGGATCTTTTTTTGTGAATATTAAGTATACAGCTTCTTGGTGGGCTTCCATCTACAAGAAGGTTTTTTTTATAACCATGGCCTTTTTCTGATTTCGGACGGTTTTCTCATCCCTCCTTCATTAGGTTGTTTTTCCTCTTTTGGGCTTTGGTTTATTAATTCCATACGAGTTTCTTATCCCAAAAAAAAAAAAAAAATTACATTCTAGTGTTGTAGGTAGAATTAAAATAGATAGCGTTCCTTTTTGAGTTACCTAGGTTGATTTATTCCATCTAAATATAACATGGGTTATTTTTGAGATTTTTTTTGGGCTATCTTATTTTGTCAAATTTTATTGCTATATACTCAAATGGTGCACATGCTTTGTGGTAGGAATTTGTGGTGAGAAATGATATGGGTTGTGGATCTACCATTGGTCCAATACTTGCTTCTGGAGTTGGCATCCGGACTGTGGATTGTGGCATCCCTCAACTTTCCATGCACAGGTATACACTTAGACTCCCATACCACTCCATTCATCAAATCGAGAATGTGAACAATGCAACGGATAGATTTAATTATTGCCTAGAACAAAATAATAATGATAATAATAAAATAATAAATAAAATAGGAGAGAGAGAGAGAGAAGAATAAAAAGCAATGAAAAAAAATCGTATTACTTGCCTTGAAAGAGGAACCGGTCTTGTCTTCCTTGTTGAATACCCATTACTATATACTAAGGTATGATAATGATGCTCATCGAATTTTATATTGTGGCAAGTCTATCTTTTGAAAAACATAATATGTATTTGACATTTTTTGTTGTTTTCTAATTTATAAAATTATAACCAACTAAAAAAGGTAGTTTACAAAAAAAAATAAAAATAATAATAAAAATAACAATCGTATTATTTCTTGAAATTTTACCTATGAAGTCATCGCAACCATGGGATTCTTTTTTCTTTTTTCCTTTTTTTATGTTGTCGATGAAAATGGTTTTTTTTTAATGAAAAAATGGAATAAAATGTTATTATGAACTTAAATTCTAAAAATAGAAAATGGTAACGAAAGTGTCTCAAATTCTTTTGTCAACTTTTGGAGTAATTTTTAAACATGTGCTCATTTAGAAACCTGAGAATGTAAACATATGGAACCATTAATTCAGATTTCTGTTCGTGTAGCAATTCTGGTACTAATATACGACATGCTCATCTTTTGCTCAAGTTCATGTGGGTAAATTTGTGTTATTGCAAATCCAAGCATAGTTTAAACTAATTAAGGCATATGTACTTTTGAACGTTTGAGTTGAACTCAAAAAGATATATATACATATGTATATTTTGGTGGTATTTAGTATGAAATTGCAATCATAAACATAATAAACCTTGGTTTGTGAATATTTGCAGCATCAGAGAGGTTTGCGGGAAAGAGGATGTGGACACAGCTTACAAGTATTTTAAGGCGTTCTATCAAACGTTTTCAAACATAGACAAAAAACTAAAGGTGGATGCTTGAAGTTTCACGACTTACCTTCAACGTTGTTAACATTTTTTTGTTTTTTGTTTTCAATAATTTAAAAACAATAATCCAACTACTTTAATAACTATTTCGTTCTCTATTATCAGTTTTTTCCTTTCTTAGAAGTTGTTTAAAACTGATTTGATAACTATTTTATTTTTAATTCTGCTTCTAAAAATTGTCTCCTCACATTTATTAGAACTACAACCGACTTCTTGGTGAAATTCGAAGAAAAAATAGTTCTAGAATTCTTATTTTGATTTTTAAAATTGTAAGATTTTTAAGAATAGATTTCTGCTTTTTTCCTACAATCTCTTACCCTTGTTATTAGAAAAATAAAAATTATACAAACTTGAAAATGTGTTGAGAGAGAGAGAGGAGTTCGGAAGTCAAATAGGAAAATCATAAAGAGAGGTGTTATTTGAGAAATTTCAAAAGATAAAAAATAAAGATATCGGAATATATTAAAGGAAATATATTGAATAGAGAAAGTTAGAAGGAAGTGTGTGAAATTTTGAAGAACATAAACGTGTTAAAAGCGTAGCTTGATAACACCCTTTTTGTTGCTAAAAAAAACAAAAATTATACATATTTGACCATAGTTTCAGATTTTCTGTTTTTGACTAAGAAAAAGTAAAACATGCTGGAGAGGAAAATTAGAAAAGACAAAAATTAATTACGAGACTAATTTTCAAAAACAGGAAAGCAAAAAAAAATATAACGGATCTCTTTGTATGTAGGATTTTAAAATATATTTTTCAAATTGTAGGTAAGATTTTTAAAAATAGGCTTCAACACGTGTTTAAGTTTTTCAAAACTTCACACTTCTTGGCATTCTAACTTGTATTTTTAGAAAATAAACGTATTGACTCGGGAACTTTGCAATCTCATTAAATATTTGTTAAGATCCGTAAAGGAAAGGAAAATATGTAAAGGTATTTTTTTTTTTTTTAACAAAATAGGATAGGGAAGAACTGCGCATCTTACCATGCCAATGCTGAAAAAGATCCGTAGCACGGCCTTACATGCTTCGCCATCCATTGAGCGACTGTAGACCTAACAATTTCATACCAAATTCATGTGTTATAAGGGTGCTTAAAACTATACAATTAGAAACGAGAGCAACAAGATATTAGACGAGACAGCAAGGACTAAACTTGTACTTTAACCTGTCTCCGGAGGATGAGATCCAGAAGACGGGACAGATCCAAGTTGTGGTAATTCCTGTGTTATAGTTCACAACAGGAGCAGAGGAAGTAAAATTGGATGGATACCTCAGCCAAATTACAACTTCTAATATAATTCACCATGTCTATCAAATGAGTACATTTGAGCTGCACCATTTTTTTGATAGTAAATAAACATAGCAGTTTCTATAAATGATGTCTCTTACTAGTTACTATAAAGTACTACTGTCCTTCCTGGTATATGATGAGTTACAGACAACAAAATTCCATAGAAAGAAATTAAGAATCCTGATATAACCACCACACAGCAGTTACTAGGTTGTGACCATATAACAACATAATATTGAATTTGATGGCTTTCTGGCATGAAGAGACAACACAATTAAATTAAATGGCAAGGAGAGAAGATACAGAAAGCTTCAAATATTTTCAAAAGCCAGCTAAAGGGAAATTAACAATCTAGCGAAAAGAGAATGATAAAGACTAAGAGCATGCCATACCTTACACAGCTCATGCCATAATCAAGATCTTTGCAATCAACCTCACGATCCGTAAGAATAGCTACCCTACTATTTGGTTTGTGTCTACCAAGCAGTTCCTTTTCATTCCCGCTCTACTACTAGTTGAATATTCAATCAAACCCCTGCTAGAATTTATATCAGAAACTCCAGAAATCATCTTCTCTTCAACCCTTTGAAATGCCTAAAGCACTACAATCATTATCCCATGGCCTTTAACCAGCATCTATTTTCCCACTAGCATTAGTATCCGAGTTACTGGCCAATTTAAATATCCGATCATGGACCTTATTGAATTCTTCTTTCCTATCTTCCACTCTCTTGAAACTATTTGATTTTTGTTGAGTGTGCACTTGCATCGCCAGTTACTTCTGAGTTCTGATACTCTCTGTGATCTCTGTTTGATAGCAACCTTTGTGATTCTGTTTTGTTCTGATGATAAACTTACAGGAATATCTACAAGACGAACAGCTTGATGTCATCACTGAGAAGTTTAACATAAACATACAATAGTTTTAGAACGGGACCAATCAGAAAAACCATATAATAAAACCATTAACTGCAGGAGTAATGCGGTACTGCGTGATGGGCTGCTAACTGTAAATATGAGGTAGGGAGATGCTGAAACTCAAATTTCTGTTGGGCTTGGATCACGAATAAATTTGTCAATATGTTGTCCATCCAAAGAACTAAACAACAATGTGGTATGACTCATACAAAGAGCATTAAGTTTTGTGGAATGAGAAGGCAAAGGACATCATCAACCACCAATTCTCAACAGAATATATAATTTAAAAGAGATTAAATTGTATTCTGAAAATAATCCAGTTGAATATGATGTCGAATTCAAAACTTGGTCTATACATTGAAGAGGAACCATAACGAAGAAAACTCTTTAAATTAATATCCATACACAATAGTAGACAACAATACTATAATGCACGAAAGACAGAAGAAAATCATCAGTTACTAGTTTCAACACATAACATAACTTTTGAAAAAAGAAATGTAATTCTATTTGAAACTAATCCACTTAACTATGATGCACTGCACATGTAGTGGCCGTCCAAATTGTCTAAATAAGAGGAACCATATTCACAAACGGAACTCAAAGTTAAGAATCATAATTCATAACATAGATCACCAAATTCAAGAACTATACAATTGAAATACCGTATTTTCCATCAACCAGTCTCCAATCTACCTTCTATCCCAAATTCGTATGCAGGATATAACAGATAATGTAAGAACTGAATAGTGACTACCTATCAGGATTGGATTCAATAGCATCAAACATTCAAATACCAATCACATGGAAAAACTACTCAGAACACTGCCTCTGAGACCACAACATAGACATGTATGCAAATGAAAAAGGAAACGAAACCTAACGCGACCTACGATATAGTCAGCAATTTTATTCTATCTGCCGAAAATCACCACCAATAGCAACGAATACAACGCTGATTTACACAATGCATGTCAAGTGCAATGGTTCAGACGTACAAATAGTAGAAACGGCTACGAGTTGGTCGACATCAGTAATAATCAATCACTTACTCGAGAATCGCTCGCGATGACTCTGAAAAGCCTGGTAGAATCCTCGGATTCATTGTCAAGAGAAAATGAAGATGAAGAATAAGCAGGGAGCGCAACGCCATTCGTCTCATGGCCTCAACCATGTCAGCGACCTCCCATGACTCAGGACCTTCGAGATCCTCTGCTGCAGAGGCCTCCATGGTAAGAAGAAAGACTAGAACTCCAAGCTCCATGCAGCAAAAGCGAGGCATTAGAGAAAAAATGCATGCAAAATCTCTAGGAGCTAGGGTTTCCGATAAATGTTATTTGGCGCGATTGGCCGCGACGCGACGATGGACTTTCTCGAGCAATTTCGATCGCAGCAAGATAAACATTGGAAATGAAATGCAACGAAGAGGAAGATCGCAAGAAAACTGTGGAATTCAAATTGCATACTGAATCTCTTGAGATTAGGAATCCCCGATCGAGGTCATGAACTTTGGCGGGAAAAAAGTAGAACACGAAAAGAAAACGGAAGGAGATGAAGTTTGATGGGTTCGCCGTGGTATTTATATTTTAGGTTTAAATATTATTTAATTTTAATATAATATTATTTAGTCTCTTATTTTATTTTCCCAATTTTCGAATAAGGATCCGACTCTCACAAGTCGAGAAGAATTCCATTCATCTGTTCCGCGGTTCACTTTGCCACCTTGCCTTCGTAGGGCTGAACATGTGCTGATAATATCTTATTTATCTTGTAAATTATAGTCTTTTATTTTATCTAATTACTTTACTTTTTCAAAAATAAATTTTCTTATGTTGCAATTTAGCAAGATCTTTGAGTTTTAGCTCAAATAGTTAAAAGATATATCAAGAACTTCAATGTAATTACAATATGTTGGAGAGAAAATTCGAACTTCAATTACCTTGTGCTATGTTTGCTATGTTCGTTTTGACAGGTCTAGTTAAATGTTTATTGAAAAGTCAGAAGAACAAAATAATTATAATACATGGAAATTTAGACATTAAAATAAAACATGTCAATCAATGAACGAATTGTTTTAGAGAGAGAGAGAGATAGAGAAAGGAGAAGAAGAAGAAAAAAAAACTCAATCCGTTGGAAGTGGAATGTGAACCTCCAATAAAATACAATAAAAACAATACTTCAGAAAGACTTATATTTCTATTATAAATAGATTGAATACTTTTGTTTTGAAGCTTTTTTATCCTTTTTAATATGATATAACCTTATAAAATTAAACATTTTTCTTTTCTTTTTTAAATTTTCAATATTTAGGTATTGTATCAATATATATTTTTTCCTTTATAATAATATAGTATCAACATGTGAAAGTATGAGTTCGAATATTTACCCTATAAAATAATAAATGATGACTTGAAATCTGTAGCAATAACCAAAAATTTTATTGCTTAGCTATTGAACAATCATACTGACTGGTTAACATTCAAATACAGTTGAAAAGCACAACAAATTCACCATGGTGTGTTTAAAAATATTTTGAAACTAACCACTTCTAAGTTCTAACAAAAAATAATAATAAATAAAATAATTGTAAGCTCTTTGCAAATGATAAATGAATTTTACCTCTATTTTTCAAGGAGATTAGGGGTAATTTTAGAAGTGATAATAGAATGAGTGATCTAAAAAAAAAGTATAATTGATTTTTCAAAATGACTATCCAATAATACCTTAAAAATCAATTTAAAGTAATTTTTAACTTTCCTAAAATCAATTTTTAATTTACCAAACATGATCAATAAAAATAGAAATAGAAGTAATTTTATAACTCCAAACCACACCCTACAGGCACTTTAATAGAGTTTAATTAAATATCTAATAAACTATTTGACTTGTAAATGAATTAACAGACGAGGTGTTACGAGTCAATTGAATTCAAGATACATCATGCATATGTAAAAGTTCATCTTTACCTGTCGCCCCTCTAGAATCATTTCTATAAAGTTTTAATTTGAAAATTAATTACAATTACAAAAGAAATCAGCTCAAATAGCCTCCTCTTAAAAACGTAAAACTTAGAAACTATTTGACAGCTTTTCAAAAAAATATCAAATAAAGATGTGAATAAATCGTTCGTAATATTACAACTACTGAACTAATTGATTCTCATAAAAGAACTTTATCTAATATATATGAAAACTTTGAAAAGAATAAAAGCTTACAAAGAATAATTAACCAACGTATTTTCAAAAACATCTTCCTGGAAATAAGAAAAATATTCTAAAACAACCTCCAAACAGTCTCGACTTGCTGACGTTGACAACGATAACAAACCTACAATTAACATTCACCATATAATGATGCTAAAATTATATTAAAACAAAATATAGAAAGGTGTGGAAGTAGTACCGAGATTCTTCAACATATGAGAAGTTGAAGTAATGATGTATAGTGGTTGAGGCATCCCTCAATTTACATTCCAAGTATGAAGTTTGATACTCTTGACAAAGAGCACCCTCTTTCATCAAAAAGCATGGACTTTCTAAAAATTTCATACCTGCCCATCAGAAGGGTGAAATTGCCACTCGATCCCACAAGTAGATGATTCCCACATTGGGCGTTTGGGATTGTTTTGCTCAGACTGCTAAAGCTGAGAAGGAAATGGAAAGCAATGCCTATTTCCTGCGCCATCCATCTTTGTCCTTGGAACAAGAAAGAAAGAGAGATACCAGGCACGATGTAAGTGATAAGAGTTAAGGAACTGAAATTGAAACAAATCTGTGAACTTACAGGATTTAGTAGAGTTAAGAGCAAAAATGTGAAACCCACGATCGACAAAATCATGGGGTTTCAAGCTGGTACTCAAACTGCAGCTACGGATCTCTCTTGATCCGAGTATATTTTTCCAAGCTTCATTCTCCTGGTTGTGTAATTGAGGTCTCTTCCTTACATTTCAATTTGTGAAATTTTTGGCATCTAACGAGTACAGTTCTGAGGTTTGCTTTGACAAAAACCAAATCCTCCCATACGCTGAAAATGTAAACAATGAAACGGAAGAATTGGAGTTAAACACATGGACCTCATGGTAAACGAGAAGCCAAACTAAAGAATTCTCCAGAAGACATTAAACCAATTTTCCATGCCCAGAAAATCACATGGGAAAAATGATTTCCGGGTTCAGAAACTGCACTACCGATATATCAATGGCACGAATGACAGAGATGTCCGGATGGCTAAAGTCACATATGACAACGCGAAGTGTTAGAAGTGTCGGAAATGTCTAACGTTAGGTTTAAAAACATTAGGCCCAAGATGAAATGTGGAAATCCCCTAGTTTCAAAATTAACAGGCTCTAATATCCTCTCAACAATAATCTCTCCGTCCATTGACTGTAACCTTAGTTAAAACTACAGAACCAAAGAAAAGGATAATATTATGTTTATGCTTAAAACTATACCAACAAACATTATAAAGTGACAACTTTATCTTTGTCCACGTTCTCAATTTTTTCAATTTCTTTCAAGTATAACTAATGGGAAGTGATCAGGTAAAGTGGGTAGGGAAGAGGTCCATATATCATTAAAAAAAAGCATGTACCTTCCTCCAAGATCTGCAAGTACATTCCCAGCGGGTTGCTGATTCTTCTATTCAACTTTTCGTCAATATCAGTGGCAAGAGCAACCTGAGGAGCTCAGCCTACTATTGCAAATTCCAAAGCAATGAGCTGCTTCATCAACCATAAGAGATGCAAGAAGCTCCAATGGAACTGACGGTGGGAAGAAGCATATTAAGTCACAGAAAATATGGATCCTTCTAAGCCCACCTCAGTCTTTATGCCTGCCCCTTGCCATTTCAAGTAAAAAATGTACATTGAAAGCCCATGATATATCATAACTACCAGATGGCGGGGAGCAGGCATGGCCCATGCCCCTCACCGGGGCCGTGCTAATCCAAAACTTGCATCTGGTTGCTGTTGGTATTGCTGCAAAACCATAAGATCAGGATCAACAGAGCGTGAATGAAAATAAAACACGCTCAGGTACATTGTGTTTAAATAGGAAGAAGAAAGGTAGCAATCCCAAACGAAAAATGACAACCACAAATTAAATCCACAAATCATTTGCACAAAAGGAAACTTTGCTCGATCATTCATTTTCTTTCCTTCAGCTGCCCTTTCCTGATTTGTAATCTATGATCACGTGCAAAAAAAATGGAAGTGGTATACGTCCAGTGACTCCAGTTCAATGAAAAGAATACATACTTTTCAGTCAGTGGGATAAAGTCAAAGGTACTCGATAAAATATCACCACCACAAGTGTCAAGACACAGAAGAAGGGCTGCACCCAAGCCTAGCTTAAAAAGGTTGATTGCATCAAACTGAATAAAACAGTTAGTAAGTCCAAACCTGTGAAAAGGGTTGATGAGTTTGTTCATGAGGATGGATAAAATGCATTCCAGACTGCTGACCAGGATACTGGGAGGAATGCAGGTACACGCCAGAAGATGAATGGGCATCAACATTTGGATTCAAAGGTCTAATCATTGCTTCCCGATGACCGTATCCCAAACCTGCAGGGGATGATTGGGCATTCCATGGCCCAGGTACATGTGGAGGGAGGGGTCTAGGTTGACATTCTGAAACGGCCTGTCTATGAGCAGAGCCAAGTTGTGGAAACTCAGTGTTATAGCTCACTGCAGGAGCGTACATGGGCTGCACAGTGTATGGCCCTCCACTGAAGCCAAACCCCGGATCAAATCTCTGCATATACCTGAAGAAGAATTTAGAACCAGAAATTTGGCTAACTTACTATCCCAGCAATAAACTTCTGGATGCATCTCAGATGGTAAAATTTCTAGCAGTGGCTTATCATCCAGCAGTGGCTTATGGCTCAAAAATACCATGTTTCTTGAATTATAAAAAGTTGTGCTATTTGACAAAAGTTTGCATGATTAGTCCTCGAAAAAATAAGAGAACCCTTAATTTTCACCAAAAAATAAGAAGACGTAATAAATTAAAATATTTTATCTCAAAAGAAACAAAGTAGAAAGAGAATAAATGGAAAGCTTGGAAGCTTCTCAAATACCTGCTCAACCATCTCGTGACAAAAGAAGCAGTCAATTAAAAAAATTGAGATAAAGCCAAGAGGATAATGGATGGCATTTGATACCTGTCGTAGCTCCTGTCATAGTCAGGATCCTTGCTGTCAATCTCACGATCTCTAAAAATGGCTACCCTACTATTTGGTTTGTGCCTACTAGGCATCTCCTTGTCAGTCCTACTTCTACTCATTCTACTGCTACTAGTAGAACAGTCAATCAAACCTCTACTAAAATTTGTATCAGAAACTCCAGAAATAATCTTCTCCTCAGCCTTTGAAGCACCCAAGGCACCACGATAATTATCCTGTGGCCTAGGATCAGCATCCACTCTCCCACCTGCATGACTACCTGAGATACTGCTGGAGTTAAATATTCGTGCACGAGCCTTATTATACTCTTCCTTCCTTTCTTCCACACTTTTCGAACCACTTGTTTTTGATGAATTTGCATTAGCATCTCTGGATATTTGGGACCGTTTCTGTGGCCTCTGTTTGATAGCAACCTTCATGGAACTATTTTCTTCTGATGGTAGACTCACGGGAATATCTGCAAGGCGAACAGCTGGCAGACGGCATTCAGATGTCTTGCGAACAATAATTTTGGAACCAGACCCATCAGGTAAACTATTGTCCAATAGAACCATGGACTGCAGTGAATAATGTTGGGCCACCCGATGTGCAGCTAACCGTAAATATGAAGTAGGCAACTGCTGAAATTCTAGTTGTTGTCGAGTAGGATCACGAATAAATTTCTCAACATCTTGCTCCATGCGCAAAACTAAAGCAATGATATTATAAATATCAAATATTATCAATTGAGGAGGATATAATCCAAAGAAAATCAATTGAGGAGAATAGATCACGAACACTATGTTTTCAACAATGAAAATAGTACATATTGATTATCAAGCACTGCAAATAGAGTTACTAATTAGAATCTTCTAAAATGAGGAAATGAGTTTGTAAGCATCATTGTGAAAAAGAAGGAAAAGGTGCTTCCTAGAAACTGATGAACTTCTAGATACAAGAATTTTAAATTTCTGATTTATGCTTTCTGGTGGTGATGATTTTCTATTAGATGCACAATCTTCCTTGATTATGTGAAAAGTTACAACCCTATTCCATCTATTCCTTACCAGATAGGACTAATATTTCAAAAGGCTAAAAGCAGCTTTGAGGCTTTTCAGAGACAAGGCATAAGCCTCAATTTTAATTTAAAAAAATTATGCAAATCTTAATCTTGTGGGATCAAGTATTATTGCAAAACACAATAGTTAGGTAAAAGTATTTAAAATAAAATCATCCCTGTCAATTGCCACTTAAATAAAAATTCTTTTTTTTGGAAAGGAGCTTAAATAAAAATTCTAAAAGGACATATTTATCATCACTACTATTATCACTAATAAGACCAACTTATACTAAAAAATTTTGCCTCTAATGTTATCAAAGCGTATGCAGTAAAAATAGTAATTGATTGAATTGTCACAACTCATGTATTAGCATTCCATACGAGTGCGTGCACACGCACAAAAAAAAAAGAAAGAAAGAAAGACCCTTATATTTGTTAAGACTTGAGCAAATTAAGAGGCGTGAAAACTAAGCTTTTTCAATGCATTTTAAGGGAGATGTAAGCCTCTTATAGTCCAAAGAAGGCACAAGTCTTGAGGCCAAAATTTAAAGTCTTGCCTCAAGTCGTAAGCCTAAAACCCTATTAAAACATAATATAAGTTTTAAAAAAATGCCTGCTCCAATTTGATCTGACAAAGAGTAGAATTACAAAATAAATTGGAAAGTGCACACAAGCTAGAGGCATGGAATTTAGCTAAATCTAGAACATCTCCCCAACTCATACACTTTTCTTTAATAGCCTCCTAATTCTATTCATCCATATTCCCCGAATGGAAAAGGTTTCTAGTGCATTCAGCCTAAGCGACAAAACCTATGCCTTTCCTCCAGAAACCGTGTCCACAAAACAATTCCTCAATAAGAACAGTTTCACTTGTTTTGGATACCATCCTTTCCTAAGAACTTTACATGCTTCCAACTTCCTTCTCCATCTTTTAAATCTCTTCCTGTACTAACGTTCGAACCCAGCATTTAAGTCCTACAACTCCTTTATCAATTTATTCTTAAAGTCCACCACCCCATGTAAACTAGGAAAACAATCAACTAAGGAACTGCTACCAATCCACACATCTTCCCAAAATTCTCTTACCACCATCGCCAACCTTTATCTTGGAATGCTTAAACTCATATAGTCATATTACTTAGTTTTTAAGATATTACTCCAAACAGACTATATCATGCGGCTTCTTGAAAACGCACCACATAGTTTTTTAGTAATAACACTTCTAATGCAATTAATACAAACTATGGTGCTTTCTTTTAGTATTATAAAGTTTTGGTTTTGAATTTTCGGTTTATCAATAAAATGTATCTCTCCTTTTCAAAAATAGTACGCAGACAGCGACGCTCTCTTACTATCGATTGGCAGCAAGAAAGGAGGCATTTGAAAGACTAGACCATACTAAAGACCGGTCACTTCTGGCCCAGCTTCAAGAAGGCCGAGGCTATCTCCCTCGTACCAAATGTGACATTAGAGAATTCATGAAACTGATCATACCATCCATAACACAGAAAAGGTAAACGACTTACTTGATAGGCGCTCCCGAGGGTTATGCAAAGCTTCGCGAAGGAACTGATCAACCTGATTGATAACATCTTCGGAAACGCTATCGAAAGTAGAAGAAACCGAGGCGGGAGGGGAGGGAAACGAAGCGGGAGCAGCATCGGCAACGGAGTGGTCCAAGGATTCGGAATTCTTTTTAGGAGACGAAGAGGAGGGGAGCATCAATCGGCTCATGGCCTCGTCCAAATCGGCGACCTCCCATGAATCCGGTGCTCCGAGATCCTCCACCGCAGAGCCCTCCATGGCCAAACGAAGGACGAGGAACCCTAAAGTCCTGGCACCAAGCGAGACATTAAAGATCAGAGAATAAACGCCCCCAAACAGGAGATCGAGGCAGCAGGTGAATTTGGGGATCGGAATTGCATTTAAGGATTAGGGTTTCGGCTTTCGACCACCGTGACGGAGGCGGAAGAAGAAAAACAGAAGAGTCTAGACGAGAGAATTTGGCGACCGCGATGATTGATGATGAAAGTTGAATGGTTTGAGACCGCGTCAAAGGTTGCGTGCTTTCGACGCGCACGATATCCTCTCGCGTTTCCTTTTTTTTTTTTCTTATTTTTTCTTCCTGTGCGCAGTGTTGGGCCTTATTGGATCAATGACCCGTTCCGAGACGGGTGGTTTTTGGAGGCTTCTTCTCATATATACACGTATACCCCTAATTATCAAAATTATTCCAATATGTTAAACATTAATTCCGAATGTTTTAGTATTTTTTTTCAATTTAGTTATCATGATTTAAATATTTTTAATTTAGTGAAATCAAACATTTTTTTTAATTTAGTACTTAAAGAACGTATATTTTAATTTATTACCAACTATTAAATTTTATCTTTTATATTTTTTAAGAAGAGTAATGATCCTTTAGAATCCTCCAACTCCCATATGTTATATTCAAAAGACTAGTGTTTTAATATTTTTCAATTCGTTTATTTTTGTTTGTAAGCATTAAAATTGACTAACGAAAGCTTGCATGACACAATAAAAAAAATAAAACTCTGAAATTTCTAAATTCTACCAAATTCTCAAAATTTTAGAAGATGAATTAGAAATTTCCGTCTATTATTTATCTCAAGTTTGTTTAACCTATAGAATATTGTGTCATGTAAGTTTTATCAGTAAATAATTTTAATAATGGAAATGGTATGGTTGAAAAATGTTAAAACTGAGGACTACATTGAAATTGAAATAGTTGGTTTGTTATTAATATTATATTTACACTATAAATAGTTGGTTTTGATTTTGATTTTTTTTATATTTTGTTGATTTTTTTAACGGTATGATGAAAATGTTGATGTTAATGTTGAATTTATGAACATGTAAAAATGTCGACATGTCGACGAGAATTCAATATCCTAATTTTAAAGGGCAAAATATGAGAGTGAAAAAAAAATCAAATTAAAATTGAAATGTAAGTTTTTTAGTACAACAATATGTGGGAGCGGGAGTTCGAACATACAATTTTTGACCAACGATACATATTTTAATAAGTTAGAACTAACCCATGTTAAGATTGAAAATGTAGGTTCAAAAGGAGGACAACACATAAAATTAAAATAACAATGTTAGTGGATAAAAATAAAAATTGCTACAATTAATTACTAACATGTATCCACCATTCGAGTTAACTTTTCACTATTTATCATTCTATGATAAAACCAAGGTCTAACCACTTTTTTCATTTTTAATGTGCATGAAGTAAAGTATTTATCTAGTTCAATCATTTTGTCGCTGAGATATCAAGATTTTGCAAATTAAGTTTGAGAACAAACAAGTTTGTAACCCATTTTTAGTACAACAAGGGAGTCGGGAGATTCAAACTAATGATTTATTGGTCAGATAGATGTCAGTTACTACTAAGCTAAATTAATCTTTACTTGTAACCTCTTATATATTAATATCAAGCCATATAAATAGGCTACGATCGGATGAATAATTATAAAATATTAATTATCTGAACTACAACTCTAATCGACCAATAAACTAATAAAAAGCTCAATATAATCATCTATCCACTACAATCTAGATATTTTGCATGTTGGGTGGTCATCTAACTTTAAAAGAGCTCCACACTATACAATCTGAATGATAAATCAACATCTCATAATCGTAGCATGCCACTATTTAAAGTTGAGAATTGGAGGCGAAATTTTTTATGTTACACAACTTTTCTTCCCAAATGTTCATCATTCACCTGTGTATAGCAAGTTGCAACACAAACGTCACCATCAATCAGATTGATTTGCTAGGTCATCTAACATGCACTGAAATCTAATTGCCACCGAAATGTTTATCTAAAAAAATCAAACCTGTTTTTTAGAAATTTCATACATTTAAAAAACATATTATGAGTTTTTTTCTTTAAAAAATTTTTAAATACAACATGATTGCGATGGTTCAAGTTGTATTTACCTTACCTTTAGTTTGATTTGAATTATGTTATTTTTATAAAATTTCAAACTGAAAAAACATATTTATTTTTTCTATTATTTATATAAATGTCTAAAAAAAATTGGAGGTGTCTTCAAAAGCTAATTTAAAATGTCATGCTCAACTTTTTGATATAACTTTTTAAGATACAATGAATACAATATGTTGCTGTACTAAAAATGAAGGGGAAAAAAATCTAGAATACAATGAATCCAAAAAGGAAAAGAAAAAAGAAAAAATTGAGTTAGTAACGATAATGTAAAGGATCTCATGAAGAAAGCTTCAACTTGTTCGGTTTTGGAGAGTAATCGGCCTTTTCAATCTTTTACAGTAATGGTCATTGTTAATGGGCTTTTTTTTTAGTTAGAGGTGGAAAGTAGCCAAATCAGTTTGTAAAATTTCTCATAAACAACCGTACACAGGTTTCAAATACAGGATCTCCTACCTGATATCATATCTATGGGGTTCTATATTCTCAAAATCAATTGATAATGAAAAAGGTAATACGGGTCTATTATAGACCATTGTTAGGTCATTTTTCTTTTCAATGTGGGATTTTCAACAAATAGAACCACTCTCGATCAAGTAACCATGATTTCTCCGTGGGCATTACGAATAATAGACCCTATACTCATCCGATTTTCTGAAGCTCTGATTTGTTAATGATCCCATATTGAAAAGAAAATGAATTTTACAATAGTTTATAATAGACATTAGTTACTTTTTTTATTGTCAATTGGTTTTGAAATTAAACTCATGAATATTAATATGGTATCAGAACCCAAAATGTTCAAACAAACAACTGGTCTAGGATCCGGTCGGGTTCGGAATTTTCCAACCCAATCCAAATTGAGGTTTAATTGAACCCAATCTGGGTTGGGTTCGTTGGGTTGTCGGGTTTTTTGAACACCTCTACGTCCCATATTGAAAAAAAAACATAGACATAGGCTACTCCTATTCGTCAGCTCGGTGGCCCAACTTCAATGAATAGTCTCGCGATTCCTATATATGTTAAGAATTTCGACCTTTATATATTTCAAATTTGCTGAAATTGAAATAAGTATGGATCGTTGTAGATTAGTTTGGTGGAAAATGATAGCCTTTTTCTAATAAACATTTTCATAAATTGACTCCCTCCAAAACAAAAATACTTATGATAATGAACACGCACACTCGCGTATGCCTATGTGTTGATATTTGCTCTAGTAATTGAACGCACCACTCTAATTAGTATGGATTTGCGTCTATGCTCATTTAAAAGATGTCGCCATCAAATAATTACAATACAATATAAACTTGGGACTTTCAAAAAATAAATTTGTGTAAGGATGTAAGAGTCAACGTAATATTAAATCGATAAATACGAGGATTATAAATCAAAATACAATAATTAATAAACGTGTCAATATCTAAATCTAGACAAAACAATCTTATATTATATAAAGAGGTGAATAGTAATTGGTTAAAAGTAATCAATTAATTTTTCGTTTAATGCAATATAGTTATGATTAAAATATTCAGTATCCAGTAATTAATAGATATTACATGAAAGCATTCCGGTGAAAATAAATTAAAAAAAACTATAAAGTCATTATCTTAATTATATTACAAACAATTGTTAGAACATAAATAATTTAACATCTAGATTAATATTAGAACCTTTTAAATCAACCTATACAGTTATAATTAAATTAAGTTAAATAATATAATATACCTATCGCAAGCCAAAAATTTATATATAAAAAATTAAAATTAAAATTTTTTGAATCCAAACAATAAAGGTGAGTAATTGAACTTTCAGTATATATCAAGTAAGACAATTAATTTTTTATCCATTAAATTATGATCGGACTGGAATTTTTATATTAAAGTCTAGACTTTTTATTATTATGTTATTATATTAGTTTCAGTACAATGTATGACTTGGTCATGAAGTTAGATATTAGTTGAAATTTGAAAATAAAGTAGGAGCAACATTTTCCTATGGAGCAATTAGTAGGAATGACAACTATTTATTTTTATAATAAAAAATAAAAAAGTATCCATTTTCTCTCTTTCCTTTTGTGTATATATATTTTTTTTCCGGGAGATTCTTGCTGACTTATTTTCGATAAAATATTACAAGTAAACTGAGTAATGAAAAACAACAATTTCGTTATATCGAATAGGAAAATAAATGATTATTAAAAAAAAGAATAGGTAAAAAAAATTAAAATAAGTAAGTTGGAAATTGGAATGCCAAACGACATGTCGTTGGGTCCGCGTCAACTGACAAATTCCAGTGAACGCGCGTGGACCGTACGTTGTGGTTGACTTCAATGATTTCTATCAGCCCTCTCCTTTATTGGGTGCGCGTCTCCGTTATCGTGGCGTGACCGCGTGGGCAATGTCATCTTCTTGGGCGATCATTATTACTCATTATTTTACAAATAGATTTGGAAGTAATTAATTAAATTGTTTTTTAGATCAGGAATCCGTAATTATATATATCTCTGATCAATAGGTAATGAATTCAAAATTTTTATCTACCACTTTAGTATATATATTTTCAATTAAGTTCTTATTATAACAGAATGTTAAATTAATTAATATATTGATGATGGTATGACGTAGAGCGTAAAATAAGATTTGAAGAGGTAAATACTTACCCTAAAAAAGAATTTATATTATATTTTCTATAAGATATAGGATATAAAATTCTCCTCCAAAGCATGTGCAAAGTTTTTTCAGAAATCTCAAAGAAATTATTTTGAAGAGTCTTAAAGTTGAATCGTATATATCTCAATTTGATGCATTTTTTCCCTACCCCTCCCAATCCTATGTCAACTAGGTGACTTAAATAGATGCCCATATTGTCACATTAATACACTAATTAAGGCACACATATGTTTGGACTCGTGTTATTCATTTTGTTATACAATTGAATATATAGCAAAATAAGTTATGACAAAAGATCAAAATAGTTATCTTTTCAAATTCAAAGAGTTTAAGAAGCAAATTAGACACTTCAAAAAGTTGAAGAAGTAAAAGAGACTAAATCTAAAAGTTAAAATACCAAAATGAGATTTAAACTTTTTGGTAAAATAAATTCGAATATGTAGATACCGACCCTAAAGAAGACCTAAAAATTCCATTTCCTACGAAAAACATGCAATATAAGATTCTCTCGTAAAGCATATACAAAGTAATCCGAGAAATCTCGAAGTTAAAATTCTATCTCAGTTTGATGTGTTTTTGCACATTCCTCTCAATACACATATCAACTAGTGACTTTAATACATGCTCATATTATCATATTAAAACACACACATATGAAGTCATGATCTATTAAACAATCAACAAAATAAATAACAACAATCATTAAAGTAGTTATTTCTTCAAATGCTAAGAAGTCAAACTAGACATAATTTTAATAGTTTAGAGACTAAAATAGAACATACCTAACTTCAAATATCAAAACGAAATTTTAACTTTTTCGTTAAATAAATTCGAGGATATGTAGATACAAAGTCTTTAAAGAATACCTACGAGACAATACCATATAAGATTTCTTGCAAAGCATTAGTTTGAAAATTTTCAAAGTTCAATCAAATGCATTTTTGAATGCTCCTTCCAATACCCACGTCAACTAGTGACTCTCATTACATGTCCATATCATAACATTAAAACGCACACACATATGAAGTCGCTAAATAATCTGACAACAAAAATAAATAATAATATTAATGATCATAAAGTAGTTACCTTTTCAAATGCTAAAAAGCCACTGACCATTTTTTAAAAGTTAGACTAAATTCTAAAAGTCCAAATATAAAAATGAGAGTTAAACTTTTTCTTAAAATAAATTCGAAGATGTAGATACTCGCCCTAAAGAAGACCTAATATTCTATTTCCTACGAAACATACGATATAAGATTCTCTAGCAAAGCATAGGAATTCCACCTCAGTTTGATGCGTTTTTGCACGTTCCTCCCAATACCCACATCATCCAATGACTTTAATACATGTCCACCATATCCTCACATTAAAACATACACATATATGAATATGAAGTCATATCATTCATCTACATTAAACAATATTCAAAGGAAATTATTTTTTCAAACCAACCAAACTAGTCATTTCAAAAATTTAGTGACTAAGATATAATAAACTTAAAGATTTCAAATACCAAATTAAGATTTAAATTTTCAAAAAATAAGTTTAAATATAGGAATGTAGGATACCCTACCTTAAAAGAAGTAATATTATTCCATTTCTTGAAAAAAAGAAAAAAGAAAAACTAAAATAGTTTGAGAAATGTGAAAGTTAGAATTGTACCACAAGGATTTGGTACTACCAATATGTGTTTTGCAGTACAAGTTCATATACGAGGAGTACAACTGGAGCCGATGCCCATAACAAAAAAAGAGAGCCAAAAAAAAAAAAAAGAAAGGCACTCCAGATTCCACTACCAAACGTGATTTCTACTTCTGTTTTGGCAGGCCAGCAACCAGATCCAATCCAACCGTTTTTTATTTATTTATTCCTTTTCATAAAAAGTTTGAAGGATTTTCATTGTCAAAACATCTTTATTTTATCAATTCACGATTACTTGTGAAAGAGATAAAAAAAAATATGATTTATTTATATGGTAGAATTTGAACTCATATTGGTTACCCGAATATGGCTTAGTAAATAGGACAATTGTTATGGTACAAATAAAATTGAATCTAATAGGTAAGTCACGAAGCAACAAATAAATCTCAGATGAGTCGAAATTAAAAAAAAAAAGAAACAAAAGGAAAAGAAATAAAAAAGAGGAAGGAAACTCAGATTCAGAAGTCTGACGAGAATCAAATGTAGCACAGAACCCAACCAACCAAAATTCGACGCCAGGCTAGCTAATGATCCAACAAATCTTAACCTTCGATTCCAACCTAAACATTATTGGACAATGTTTGACTAGCACCACACCGGTGTTCAGTCTTCTATATTTTGCACGTTAATGATGAGTCCCTTTTGGTATGACATTTGGTTAAACAATCCAACTAAATTTACACATCAACCACGGTTATTACCATTTCAAAAGTTGATCATTCGGTATCTTATTCCTGCCAGTGTAGAACTCAAAAAAGAAAACAATATATGTTAAAATGGTTGGATTTTATAATATCTTCCTACTTCGGAATTATTTTATATTTTGTTACCTATGTTGATATCGATAAGGTGGAATCTTGATTAAAATGACATGTCTAATCAAATGATAAATTAATCTATTAAATAGGAGGAAGCGATTCAGCACCCAAAATGGATCAATGAAATTAGAAATTAGGGTAGGTATGACATGTTCATGTTCTTAATTGATTGTATATAGACATTCAAATTATTCACTACCGAACATTGTCCTCTTTTTTAAAAAAAGGCGTGGAACAGCTTTTCTTTCCGCAAAATTTCATTTATTATTTTATTATTTAAATTAGTTGTTATATAATGTAAAATGATGCACTTGCCTTTGAATCATAAAACTATTTGAAATACCGATTATTGATGCAATTTGTAGGGATAAAATTTAATATCCATATATATCTTTTATTTTATATTTTTAAGAAAATTGAATTTGTAGCTTAAATAGTGTAACTTAGAAGGGAGGGACAACTTTTATTTCCATGACTATATTTTGTGTATTATAATAAATTGGAGATATGAGAGTTCAAATTTCCACCGAGAGAAATGATAGATATCCATTATCGTTGAACTATGCATCTGGATCGTGTATATTTAGTTGATATTAAAACTCTAATTTTATCTTTGTCAATAAACAAAACAATGTTATCCATGAAATTTATATATAGTTTTTTCAAGTTGGGGTTGGAAAAGTAAATTAATTTATTACTTTAAATTCATATTTTAATTTGATAAACCGAAAAAGACAAAATTCAACATTAAATAAAAAGCTAAATATATAGGGGTGGAAAATGAGTTTTATTAACACATCCCTATTTCCTTTACTAAAAAAACGTGTAAATAAATAAATAAATATATATATAGAGATACATAGAGAGAGAATATGGACCAAAAGATTATTAAAATATTATTGAAGAGGGTGCAATGACTAAAAGGTCCTTGATGGTAGTTGAAATTGGAAAGTTATCCTGTTGGGAATCGGGCGTGATTTTTTAATTATCGGGTTGACCCGACCCACCAAGTAGGGTATATTAAAGCCGCGTGAACATCCTGGCAAGACCCATCTGCGCAGAGATCGGCGAGGGCGATTTTTCCGAGACTTTTCTTCGTCATTTTCTCCTCCGAATTTCTGTAACCTGTAATCATGTCTCAGGTATACTACGAATTTCTCGGTTATTTGCTCTTGTATGCAATTGTCGGAGATCTTTTTTCGGTTTTTCTGCCTTACCTTTTTGATTTCTCTCTCTCCCTCTTTATCTAATCGATCTTGTGATTACGAGATCGGAAGTTACGTTATTTCATTCGCTTTTCAAACTTCTTACCAGCAGCTCGGTGCATGGATTGTTGATTTAAATTGAAGTACAATAATCTGTTCTAAAACATTATGCAATCCATGGCTTAAAGGCTTCAATGATGAAAGAACTGCTCACCTGAGTGTTGATATCTTGCATAAATTTTACTTATCTTTTGCGATTCGGACTTACGGATGTTCGGTTCTTTTAGCATTTTATCTCTTCTTCTTTTTCTGATTTTTCGTTTCTCCCTGACGTTTTACGAATTAGTTTTTCATTTAACGTGAATGCGATACGAGTGATAAACGCGACAGTAACCATGCCAATGAGATCGAAGTCTGAGAGAGCTCCATATAAGCATTTTGTTAGTATCATATACTGATCAATATATTGGTCAATGAATTACAAAGGAAGCTTTGTCTTGGTCATATGTCGAGATTGCGAGGTAATTGATTGCATGTTTTCCCAAGTTAAAATGTTCTTGATCGCTCATGATCATATCAGTTCTGCTCTTTTATGCGTTTTCTAAAACCTAATTTAAGTTTTCCTTGGGGATTTGAGTTGTCGAAAAATCAGTGAGAATGTTTATGGATACTGCGGACGGTACACAAGTCCCGACATACAGATAGGATTGGATGAATGAGTAAATTTCTCTTGAAGAACTTGGTAAAGAACCAGAGATATTTAATTCTCTTGTCAATTTAAATGCATGTGGGAGCGGAGCTAACTTTTATTTATTGGTATCAATTAGCAGTCCATATCCCTCCCTCCAAATCTAGCGGAGTTCTTTGATTCCAGCTAAACAATACGGTTTGGAATTTGTTTTGGTGCAGACTACCGTTCTCAAGGTTGCTATGTCATGTCAAGGCTGTGTTGGGGCCGTTAAAAGGGTACTGGGAAAACTGGAAGGTTTGTTCTTCCTCTGCTAAAGTTTGGTCGTTTTATGCTGTGCTCTTATTTGTGCAATCTTTCTACCAGAGTTTGAGGTTCAAATCTGAAAGTTTCATATTGCATTTTTGTGGTCCATATGTTTCGACATTTTTATATTCTGTTGAACGATATGAAAATATTTTTGGACTGATGTGTGAATTCTTGAAAGTGTGAACCGTTTCGGGTCAATTTCAACAAACCATATATATGCACGCCTGGCTAATTTTATTGCCAATTTAGTTCTCTTTTATGTCTAAGTTTGTCAATCGTTCTTTAGTTATCTGGAAGATCTGGTGCACCCTTTACTGATTTCTTGAATGAAGATAATTAGATATTAAATCTATCGATATTGCAACATCGAGTGTCCTTTAGTCTAATCTCTTAGACTTCTGCTATTAGCAATCGACTATCAATTCTTATATTTATAAGTTCTTGGCTACCATGTCCAGGAGTCGAGTCTTTTGATGTCGACATAGATGCGCAAAAGGTGACTGTGAAAGGAACCGTGGGGCCTGACGTAGTTTTTCAAACTGTTTCAAAAACTGGGAAGAAGACTTCCTTCTGGGAAGCAGAAGCCCCGGGAACAGCGGCGCCAGAGGCGCCACCTGCACCAGCTGAAGCAGAAGCTAAACCTGCTGAGCCTGTGGCTGCTGCTTAAGGTTTATTCCATTTGCTTAATGGGAATGGTCTGTTCAACGCATAAGCTCTTTGCTTCGTGAAGTTAGTAATGTTGTAATAGTACGTGATCTTGGACTTTTAGTCTGTAATAATTGATTGGAGTGCTTCTTGTATGACCTTTCTACTCTAAAACTTAAATATAGATATATTTCTGTTTTTGCCTCGATTCTCTCTCTCTCTCTCTCTCTCTCTCTCTCTCTCTCTCTCTCTCTCTCTCTCTTTTTCCCCTTCATTTTGACCTTCTGCTTCCTTCAGTGGCTTCTTGATATTCTTTGGAATGGTTCAGTTCCTTGAAGGACCTTCAATGGCTGGTGCCTAACTTCCTGTACTAATTTGATTCTGATGATTTGCATTGAAAAGTTGGTTAAATCTGTATTTTGATCGTTGAGTTTGTTTTACGGTTTGTTGGAGAAAAGCGTAAAGATGACAGAGTATTATTATAGGAAACTTTCGTTATACTTATACCCCACTTCATAAGATGGATATCAATTTTAATACTCGCATATAAGCACTTTCGAAAAGTTAAATGTATATTTTGATCGGTTAAAGTTTGCACCATTTCTTTAGAAATTTATCAGAAATTTGAAGGAATAAATAATTGATTATGGTTAAAATACTTTTAGTATTGGTTCATCTTAATCGCTACACTTTTAAAATGTTCATTTTAGTCCTTATAATTTCAAAATGTTAATTTTGATCCTTGTACTTTGTAGTCCTTATTTTAAAATTTTTTTCACAAAATCTACACATAACGAAAATCATTTAATATAGAGTCTATTTTAAAAATTTTTACACGGAATCTACACATAATGAAAATCATTTAATATAGAGTCATGATTATGTTTCAATAAATATGTTAAACGTAATGTCATATTGAAATTGTGATTAAAAAAATAAGACTATAAATAAAATTAAGAGTCCAAAATGGTCACTTATAGAGACCAAAATAAATATTTTAGAAGTATATAGACTTAAGTGAACCGGAACCAAAATAAATATTTTGAAAATAGAGAAAGCAGAATGAACCAAAGCTAATAATTGAGAACTAAAACAACATTAGTTTCTATTGCATTTTTAAATGTTAAATTTCATTTTTTTTTTTTGAAACAGAATGTTAAATTTCATCTCATCATAGTTTTCTTATAAAATATAGTTGACCTTGCATGGATTACAAAATTCAACCCCGCTCAATCGGATGTATTAACTAAATAGAATGATGTATGTATCTATGAGAGTATAATATCTATGAATTTATTTATTTATTTTCAAACACATTATTGAGTATAGACTTTGATGGAATTGTTTTTTAAATCGATATTTTGAGAATGTAATTGAAAATTTGAAAACGACGTAATTGGAAAATGTTACAAATTTTAGAGAGGAAATCGAGTATCACATTTTTCTTTTATCCAAATTCTTTCGCTACTAAAGGTGAGATTTTATGGACCAATTTGTTAAGATCCTCCAACATCTTCATTGATATGTACTTGGGCATAACTCAATTTGTCGATATCATTTATAATCATTCCCAGCTCATATTCATAAATTTGCTTGTGGGTAGGTACAAAAATAAGGATTGCCACTCGGAGATACGCAGTGAGATAAAATAGTTTTGATTCCAATTCCATAAAATTTATGGTAAACATTTCATTCTATTTGATTTCATTCCCATTCCAAGCATTGTGAGTAGATGGGGCATGTATTAAATCTCAATAACAACCATTTACTTGCCGATTCTACGAGGGAATATAGTCAAACTCCATGTCCCATGATGCCCACATACCTTAAGAATTAATTCATGTGTTTTCCGACACCATTATTGTTATGTTAGGTGTGAATTTGAGAAGAGTTCTTAGTGTAAGGATTTGAAGTGAAACAAATATTGTAAGATTTGAAAATAAAATGATAGCATTCGAAAAAATAGAAAGGAAACAACAATGTAAGTGTTTGAATACATGATTGCTTTGATACCATCTTAAAACGTTAATAAATCACTAATTAACTTTTTTTTTTATAGATTTTTTTTTTACTTAAACAAATGAATTCAAAAGTTTAGGCTAATGAGTTAGGGTAAATTTATTTCATTTATGGATACGATATCAGAGTAGGAGATCATATCTTCGAACCCTCCATTGTCATTTCCTCTACATTTAATATTGATTTCTGCTCGTTTAGCCTTGAATGATTAAATTTACTCTAACCCATGAGCTTACCTTACAATTTAACGTTTCTAACTTTTTATAAACATAAGCTTTTGGAAACAGTTCCTAAGAAATGTTTCTAAAATTATATAAAAAATGCAGAAAGAACATAATCGTGTTTTGTTTATATTTCAAGTTCTTTCTAATTTCTAATAGATAAAAGCATTATTTTATCAATAGTTAGTTATAAAATGTACATTTAATATAAAACAAAAAAACATACCAATTTTGAATATTGAATTTGAAAAATTAACTTTTCATATAAAAATTTTAGAGAACAAAAAACAATAAATTGTTACATTTAATTTTTTTTGTTGGGTAAGAAAAGTACTAAAAACAAGACGGTTCCTAAATGTAATTTTATTTTTACGAATTAAAAGAAGAAAAACAAGAAACAATACGAAACCGGCCATAAAAAGCAATCCAGGTTCCAAACCGGCTATATCATGACATTGACATGACTCCAGGAAGGAAAAGGCAAATTTTGAAGATGGTGAGGACACGAACGGTGGAAAGTAAAGCGGGTTGGGCTCGATGGGTCCAATTAACGGGCCGATAACATCAGGCCCAGTCCAAATCCCATCGGCCCAAAACTTGGATAGCTGCGCAATCTGCGGTCTGCCAGGCGCTTGAAATAACCAGAAACCCTACCTCTCTCCTCTACATACTATAAATACGAAGCCATCAACAGCATTTACAGAACCCTAGCTGAACTCTCTCTCTCTCCTGTTTGCGATTTGTTCTGTGAAGGATGAAGGTCGTAGCTGCATATTTGCTGGCCGTTTTGGGAGGCAACCCCAGCCCTTCCGCCGGAGATGTGAAGGATATTCTTGGATCTGGTACATCCGCTTTTCGCTCTCGTTTTTTCCATTAGTTTTCATCGATGTTTTGATTGTGGTGGAGTGATCGGGAGTATCTCTGTTGATGTATAATTATCCTTGTTCTTTTGATTAATATGTCTTGCTAGTTTGATCAGTATGTTTTATTTGTTTGATAGGATCGTTTGGTTCTTTACTTTCTTCTGATTTCCTTCGATTTGTTTCGATTTTGAGCGTTGTCGAGATTCGGAGTTTTGTTGTTGAACTATTAGATTAGTGTTGGTTGATTGATTTCGCACATTTCGGGCTGTTCGACTTCAAATTATGGCAAATTATTGACGGTTTTTTAGAAGATATATGCATCGTTATTGTTTGTCTTCTTCATATGTGGATCCTGTCATTTGGCTAGGCTAGCGTTTGAGTTTTTTCAGGTTATATTCGTTCGTTAACGCAGTTTTTGACTATCAGCTCGTGCTTGAGAAACAATATGATGAATGATTCTGTTATCTGTGGCTGGATATGAATGGAATTTTCAAGGAGGAAGTATCGATACTACATTTATCGTTGATTTAGGAGAGTTGTGCAGTACAAATTATTTAACTTACTTTAGACGCTTCTTTTGGCTGGAATAGTGTTCTTCTAGTCGTTATTATTTGACATGGATGATTCTAAAAGCTCTTATATTTTGTTTCTACTCTTCATATTTAATGATTTGTTATACGTCTGAATTCAATTTCTCACGTATGATTTGGATATTGAAATACTTGAATGTAAAATATTGCCAATGGGGTCATAATTTTCTTGTTGGAACTATTTTGCAGTTGGAGCTGAAATTGATGAGGACAGAATTGAGCTTCTCTTGTCTAATGTGAAGGGTAAGGATATTGCAGAGCTCATTGCATCCGGAAGAGAAAAACTAGCATCTGTTCCTTCTGGTGGTGGTGGCATTGTGGCGGTGTCTGCTGGAGGAGGCGGAGGTGGTGGTGCGGCTGCTCCTGCTGCAGAAGAGTCAAAGAAAGAGGAGAAGGTCGAAGAGAAGGAGGAATCAGACGATGTAAGTTTCATAAATGTTTATGAAGATGTTGCTTGGACATGCATGTTAACAGTAGAAAATCTCACATTCTTAATTATCGAAACTCTTTCATGAATAATATGTTCCTAAGCTCAATTGAAATGCCATAGGATCTTTACCTTATGACAGTTTCTTCACATAAATCTACTTGAACTATGAGATCTCTCCACAATTTTCTCTTATAATTCCTTGTTTCATGTTTTGCAGGACATGGGCTTCAGTCTCTTCGATTAAGTATAATTACAATGTCGAATGTTGTTCAGAGATTCTTCAAGAGTTTAGATTGGAATTTTTGTTTTCACATGTAATCTTTTTAACCTTATCCTGCTGTTATGATGAGCCAAATGTTATTTTATTTTCAGTTAATGAATTTCGTCGTAATTTTTGGATGTCCCTAAACACCTGGTATAATATTATATGAAAAAAGGAATTGGCGTTATTGCATGAATTTCAATCGCAGACTATTGCTGCTGCGCTTCCTTTTGCAACATCTAAACTAAAAGGAGACATGGGGAATGGCTTCTTTGACTTAGTTTATCAAAGGAAAAAGAACAGCAACTGCAAGAGCTGAGGGTAAATTTTCTACCCATATTTTTGGCTAATAACTTTTATTTTTATTTTTTTATTAATTTTATCTAATTGAAAATTTGCATACTCAATTTCTCAAGCTCATCAACCCCCTTGTTTGAAATGGCTAAACAGTATCGTGCTTTTTCCACGGGTGGAAACATATAAGTACCCTCGTCTTGGGTGTGCAAGACTTCAAATGTGTGATTATTGCAGTTTCTAATTAATAGAAGTGAACTAAATTTACATGAAAACAAAAAATATATTAATGGTTGATTACATGGGTTATTCCTAGATGGAGTCAATGATTAATTAAGAAGTTGGAATGTTGTTAGTACGCATTTTCTATAATAGATGTCTGATTTGGATGGTGTGGCATTTTGTTTGAAGAATAACGTTCGATAATATAGAGTACATATTTGAACAAGTTATTTAAAAAAAGAAAAAAATGAAAGTGGAAAGCTGCCCAATATTTATTTATTTTTATGTGTATATATATATATTGTAATTTGATTTACGTATAAAATATACAAAAAATTAAGATCAACCTCAAGTAAAGAATTATAATAGACGAGAAAATTTTTTTTCTAGTTACATTCAATTTGTTTATATATAGTAAAAAGGTCGTACAATGACTGGTCTATAAGCCATTTGAAAAGAAAATTTTGTTTTGCAGTTTTTAGATAGGTTCAAAAAATAATTGAGATTTACGGTATTGTTCTACAGATTCCATAGCGTCTGAACCCTCATGAGCTACACATTACAATACATCAAACGGGCAAGATACATGTAACACAGTATATTATATATGTATAAATAAGTGAATAAGCCTGTATAAACTCAACTTAGCCATACAACAAATGGTAAGATGACAAATACACTCATTGACACGAGTTCGTATTCTCCACTTGTATTAAAAAAGAACATGACAAAATATGCTACAACCGGCTATAGGAAGTATTGAGCTTGGATATACCTTAGACCATAAATTTGGGAAAGTAGCAGCCAGCCCCTTGGCTGCACCCAGTTGAAATAGCGTAGCACCAACCAAGCTTTGTTCTGGACAACTTAAACTATGAAAGTCGGATTTGAGTTCTTCTGGCCACGCTTTCTTCTCGGGCTCGAACTGATCATGCAGGAGAAGGCATTGACAAGATCCGAGTCCTCTTCGGTTATTAAAATTTTGGCCTTACTCGGTTCTGCGAGCAGGAGCTTGCCCACGAGGTATCCTGCAATTGACCAGGTTTGGAATAGGTGTGCTTGTTTTCCAATAAACCTTCCTTTTCTCGTGTCGTAGTATTCGGGCCACTTGTCTCTCGCCAGACGTCGCTCGGCGATCTCAATGGCTCTTGCTGCGGTTTCTGGTCTATCCATCTTTATACAAGCGACTGTGAGCTGAGAAGGGTATCAAATACTTCAGCATCAGTGTTTCACATTTTGAAGTCAATGACAATAGGCATAAATATAGGCATAGTATGCTCTTTTGTTGTCGAGGAGAGTTCGAAAGTAGAGGCACAATTGTTATCGAGAACAAACTATTTCAGTATCAAAACTGATATGGATTATGTTCCCATTTATTGTTTTCTTGTTTATTGTTTCCAATGTTAGAGAAACATCCGTGTTTGAAAATTATTCAAATTCCTTGTTTATGATTTGTAAGAAATTTTGGAAATAACACAATTAAATTTCTTGAATCTTGCTCTCGTTTTTTCCAAATCATAAATAAAAATATTAGTTTATCATTCTCGACTTATAAAATAGATAATAAATATAAGATAAAAATAATAGTTTTCTTATTAAAAAGTTTAATTTTTTTAACTTAAAATGTTAGAGAACGAGAAACAAGAAATAGATGTTAGCAGATTTCTGTTTGTTTTTTTATGATAAAAAAAGAAAGAACAAATAACAAGAAGTAATTACCAAATGTACTTCTGATTCTATTTATTAAGAAAAAGAAACAAGAAATTGAAACGAAGAGGTCTAATAAATAATTTCTCAAAACTTCAATATAAAGCATGTTAGTGAGATCAGGACTTTGAGAGCAACAAACCTGCCACAGTAATGTTGGCCAAGAACCTGCATTGTGGTACGACCAAGGCCTGCATCAACAGAAATCAATTTTTTGTTACCAAGAAAACAGGGAGATTTTACTTATGAATCTTACAAGTACCAAGTCGAGTAAATTACGTGTTCTTCGGATCGCTGCCGGTGATAATCTGCCATTCCTGACCTTCAAGAGCCGGATAACAAATCTTGAGAGGCATGTCTGCTACTAAATCCCCCCATTTGGATTCAATGAGATCCAAAATGGCATGTGACTGATCTATTGTAGTAAGACTACTCACTACAGACCACAAATTTCCTAGAGAAAAGAATCGGAAATCCATGTGAGCTGGTTGCAAGTTTCCAATTAGATAACCTCCTTTATTAGGCATCCATTCCACCAACCAAGAAGGAATTTGATCAGGGTAGATGTTGAATTTGTTTACTGCATCATATGAGTACTCTTCAGTCGTGTAGCGATAAATTTCATTTAGCTTTCTCAAATCGACCCAATAATATTCTCTGATATGAAATGATAGAGCAACCAGACGATTGTTGAGCGCACGGATAAGATCAGCCGATCCATCCTCGGGAGTAAGCATCTCGCGTGCACAGAGTAATGCTGAATAAAAAAGTGCCTACAGAACTCAGAAGAATGTAATAAGGATATATCTTTACAATTTTACCATGTAATCTGTAGAAGACAGACCATGCCACAACATTTTATGTGCAGGTGAAATCTAAGGTGAAAAAAATAAAAACATTAATTTGATTTACTAATTTCCAGAATGCAACTGCAAAATATAACTGCATACTGTTAATTCTTTAATATTTTCACTTAAAAAATGTAAATAGGAAATAAAAACTTCTTACATGCATGCTTGCTCATAGTATTAAATGGCTCAAACAACTTAGGCGCACTTTTTAGTTTTATGTTTTTTGAACCTACGCTTGTTTTCTCACTATTTCTTTAATATGTTTTTCACTTTTCTTGAAAACATATTTAAATTATTAGCCAAATTTTGAAAACAAAAACAACATTTTGGAAACTACTTTTAATTTGACTTATATTTTGAAAATGTTTTTTAAAAGTTGATAATAAGACAAAGGAATACATAAGTGAAAGTAGTGGTGGTAAGCTTAATTTTCAAAAACAGAAAACAAAAAATAAAATGGTTATCAAACGGGACCTTAAGAATGGACATATGTAGATTTCCTTTCCTCTTCATTTGATCTATAGAGCCCATGGAAAAGTTAAGTTCCTGACTCCCCTTTTCACTTCTAACATTTCCAATGCCATGACTTCCTTTGAATACATTAAAGGAAGGCAAAGGAAGGCAAAACTAAAAAAACAAAAGCAATTAAAGTTGAGACTACTGAAATTGAAAGACTAGGTTGTTGCTTACTTGGATTTCCAGAGGGTGACCGTGAATTCCCATACGACGATCTATCATACAAGAACCATCAGTTACCAGTAAAGTAGGGAACATATCAAAGCCATCAGCAAGACAAAGCCTCAATATCATTTTGATCCCAGTTTGGACATCAACTCTCTCCTGAACCGAGAGATCGCCAGAGCATTTTCCATACGCACGCAATAGAATTATCCACCACAATCCTATGATAGAGAGGCAGGCGAGTTACTTTATCAGATTTAGATATACAAGGGACAAACTTTTCTTCTAAAAAAAGACTTGATGTTCTGTGTACCTGAGTCGACAGGTGCAACACGACCAATTGCTGCCTCCCCAAAGTCAGGATCCAAAACCTCTTCTGTTGCCGAGTCGTCACCATCTAAAGGAACTGTGCGTATCTTGAAACTAGCAGGCATTAATCCTTGACCGGGACTGTGACAGTCCATAGTTTTCTCCCAGCTCTATGAAATAACGGATCAAGAGCATTAATCAAAGAGGTAAAAACAATAGAAGGTAATTAAACATCACCTCCATGAATTGACTGATAGATACAAAGTTCTGATTACCTGCAACTGAAGCGTGTGGAGGATAAAATTGCGAACAATATCATACTCTCCCTTCAATAAGAAAGCTATTCCAGAAGGTATGAAATCGCGTATAAAGACCTGATCATAGTTCAGTAAATTAGAACTAGTACGGTCTGTTGCAGCAATTGTTCCGACCGGGCTGCCACAATAATAAACAATGGATTCCCGAAGCAAGTCCCATGCCTCATCCTCAATGGACTCGATACTAATCTTACTAGAGGAGTCTATAACAGCTCCATTTGTGCCACTAGAAATCGGGCTCCTGATTTCCTGTTTTGCATATTGAACATCTTGAAGTTCCAAAGCATTTGATCCATTTGGTTTGTTGTTGATTGGATGTGGTGTCTTTGAACTATCCAAGAACCATGTTCCATTTCCACTTTCTGGTCCACTTTCTGCTTGTTGGCATTTGCAACTGTATAACAGGCGACGATTACTTCTCCTTTTCCCACAAAAGCCTGTCTGTAACCCTTGTAATAGCCTACTCGAGCATTTTGAAAAATGGCTATGTTTCTTCACTAACTTCACTTGTGATTTAAACGAAAATGTGGAGTCCAAATTGTTCGAATACGAGTTTGAAAATAAAGCACGAGGTATGACCCCAGAAAAGATTCGCAGAGCTGCTTCAGACGTGCCCATCTACGAATAAATTACCGAACCAAACGATTGTGATCTAAATTAAAAGCTCCCCAGTGCCAATGCCAGGCAATTGGAGAACCCGAATGATATCTGCACGCACAGAGAGAAAGCATTCATGATCCAATAGAAACATTGCATTCGCAACCTTTAAATTACAGGACGAATATAATTTCATACAAGAGAATCCATTTCATCGTAATATAGAGAATCCATTTCATCGTAATATTGAATGTTTTTCCCCAATTTCCTGCTCTAAGAAGAAGGAAAATAGCAGAGATAAAACGTAAGCTTAGGGTAAGAAAATCAAAATCTACACATCAAACAATTTTTTAACATGGCCGAATCATTGAAACCAGGTTACAAGAGAAAATGGCGTCAGGAAGCCTAAACATTCCTGCTTTCTTTGATCAGGTTATCTAATATTTACCAAATGATTCACAATCCATAGCAGAAACATTGAATCAATAATCTCTATACTAAAAACCACAGCATCTTCAGCAAGTAATAGAGATTAGATTCGAGCAGCGAGCGAAAGAAATAGGACACACTACGAACAAGGAAAAGAAATCAAAGAATCAAATACAATAACCTCCTAAATTCTAGTTATAATCGCCTCAAAATTCCAACTAAACGGGAATCATATCATCAATTAAATGTAAATCCAATTCTGAAAAAATAGCTARAAAAAAAAAAAAAAAAGAGAAAAGAAAACTATGATACTTCGGCGCCAGATTCCGCGAAAACGAAAACGCAGAAATTGAAAACAAATAGTCGAAGACAGAAGCAACAACTCACCGGATTTTATGATGTAATGAATTTTTTCTCGGAGCAGATAGAAAACTCGGGGAAATGATCGCAGAGCTATGAGCAATTTTCCGGAGATTTCCTGAAAAATGAAGAACCAAAAAAAAAAAAATAAATAAAAATCACTATCCTCAGCCCCACGAAATATAAAAAACGTGTGTTTTCACAAATTTGTGCAGTGGATGGAAGAGGCAAAAAAAATCTACCTGTATTCTTACATGAAGTCGTGAACTTTTCCTCTACACTTGTTGTCCACATCTCCAGGATTTTTCTTTTTAAGTGCTCTGATTTTTTCCTAAAAATGTTAAATAAAATATAGATTTCTACCCTAAAATTTAAAAACCATATTTTAGTCTCCCCAATTTCAATAAATTTCAGATTCGGTCGTTGGGAACCAAAGGTTAAAATCTTTAACTAAAAAATTGAGATGAATTTTTTGAAGATTCAAACTCTAAATATTCTTTTCTGACTGTTGAAAAACTTCATTTTACTCCATGGTTAAGAAGGTGATGTGTAATATATATATATTTTTACTATATCTTTTATTAAAAAATACTTACTACAATCAAGATTTTAATGACTTGAACATAACTCAATAATAAAATATTAATAGTCAAAACGATTGACATATATCTCAAATCAACGGGTTGTGAATTCGAATCCTGTTCCAATATGTTGTACAAAAAAAAATAAGATATTAATAATTTTGGTTATTTGTCGAATATTTGAATTACTACCTATAATGATATTTGTCGAACATTTTACTCTCAATAATTTCGGTTATTTGTCTAACATAACTCAATAATTAATAAATTTAAAACATGTGAAAGAGGGATTAATATAAAATTTTACGGACCAAATAAAAAAAAGAAAATTATAAAAATAGTACAAAAAGGAATATGAGATTAGGTTTAAAATTTTACATAAAAAAAGACATAAATTGTAAATTTAAACAACTACGTTAGACCACCCAAAAATCACTTTTTCTGATATTTTTGAAAAAACAACAAAAAAAAAATTGATATATTTATGGATACGTATTTATATTATGATATTTAGTGTATTTTTTTTTTAAAATGGATGGGTTAATTACAACCTTTAGGTTCCACACTATAATTAAAAAATATTTTTAGTGATGTCTGCACAAGGATAGTTGAATCATTGATTATCTCTAAAAGTTCAAAATTTGATGTAATTTTTTTTTAAATATAAATGATATATATATAAAAATATATTTATTATTATTGTTATTATTATTTTATAGAAGCATGCATGAATGTTGTCAATTTAGTGACTTATTGAGAAGGTATAAGTTTCTATAGATCATCTAACAAATAAAAGATATTTAGTTCATATATTAAATTTGTATTACCTAGAATTGATATACTGTATCTATATTTTATATAAACCTAAGACTTATGAAATCTAGGATGATATCTTTATAAATTATAAATCTAAAAATGAGTCAACTTAAACATAGCTTATCGTGTTAAGACATCAATGTTACTCACACGCAAATGAAATAGACTATTCAATTTATTTCCACAACTCAATTACACATTCACACAATTTCGAGCTTATTATAACCGTGGACCAAATATCCCCTTATATCAAGGTGGTGATCTTTGACTTTTGTAAAGAAAATGAAAAAGTTCTATCATTCTTGACYTTTTTGTATAAACCTCTCTCCCATTTGAATTTTACAAATAAAATCAACACCCTCCCCATAACAATATGAATATAAATACTAAAGAGGATAAAAAGAGATTGAAATTCTTGATTGACAAACCAATCAAAAATAAAATAAAAGGAAATAAAAATAATTGTCCAGACATATTTTTACAGAATTACCCTCAATTAACACACCTAACATTTTGAAATCTTAGCTTAATCATAATTGGACAATAATTATGGTTCGACCAAAAATTCTAGAATAATAGGAGTGTTTTATAATTTATACATAGCAAAATTATGGACTCTGCATTTGTTTCAAAGGATAGTAATTTTTGAGTTTATACAATTATGATTGTTTTTGTCTGAATATTTGAAGCATAATTTAATGTTGTGCGTACCAAAGAGAAACACATGGCCGAAGCCTTACCACTCATTGCCAGCAAAAACAGAAGCCAGAGTTTGACCGCAAGCATCTGTCTGTGCCTTATCCAACTGCCACACCCTTTTACACACCAAGCCTCTCACTTTCACGTGAGAAAACTTACTTTTTAAATTTTCTTTTAATGAAAAGTTAAGATAATAACATCCAAGAAAAAAAGAAAAATATATATATGTGTGTGTGTGGAGGAAAAAATGCATTTGATAACTTTTTCGTTTTTTTGATCGCCAGGTTAAAAAAAAACACTTTAATAAATTCCCCAAAAATCATTGAAACGTTTGTCATTATTAATTTTTTAAAAATGAAATGATAAAATTACAATTTTGTTCACATTCAGAGGAAAAAGAAGAGGAAAATTCTTGGCTAGTGAGGAAGAATTTTGTCCTCACAATCATTTAAGTTAAGGGAGAGAAATGGAAAAACATAAAAAAAAAATAAAAATTTGTAATTTTTCCATGTGGGATTTTGTCCTCATCGTCAAAGAGCCAAGCCAAGTACTATCTTAAAAAAGAAGCAATGAAAAATTTCACTCATTATCCTAAAAATTGAAGACAATGCACAATAAAACACATGCTTCTCGAAGACGAGAAATGGAGTAAAAACATAATCAATGGCTCTAAACATCTCTTCCACAAACATTAATCCCAGAATCAAATGAATTTTATGTGAATAATACATAAAGGATTAGAATCAGATAGAAAATACTTGCCTACACTCATCAGTAAGAGTTCCTACTAACTTTCTAATATGACGGTAAAAATATATGATTTTCCAATCGAGAGGGCAAAAAATTGGGTAAATGATAGCCAGGAAGATTAGAAGCAGAATCAAGAATTCTCACATATATGCGTGTATTTATATATATATTGGCGCCAAGACAAGAAAGAGAGCAAGTATGGTTGGAAAGCCAATATTCTGTTGAAAGCCACATTAACAAAACCTGATCTAAGTTTCAAGAATCAGAGGGGAAAGAAAAATAATAAAACCACTAATAAGAAGCAGACGACAGCACACTCATATATATATTTATATATATATATATTTTTTTTTCCTTTTTAATCACGCAATTAAGACCCATAAATTGCTACACAATAGAGGGAGCTATATAGACACTCTCCTTAGGAGGATTGGTAGAAGAATTAGGGAACAAACCCAACATCTTTGAAGTATTCGTGCTCAAGAGCACTCCTGGCCGTGACTCTTTTGGTGGGATCCAAGCACAGCATTTTCTGGAACACAATGATCAACCATTACACCACACAACAGATATATTGCATATAGTTTAACTTCTACTACATCCAATTTGAATATCGATTTGGTAGAAAACAAGACGTTTCAGTTTTTGTTGAAGTAATGTGAAAACAGGAATGAACCGTTCTGGCATGGTTAAGAAATTAAGGGCTCATTTGGTAATATTCATGTTTCTTGTTTCCGTTTCTTCATTTATGATAAAGAAAAATGAATTGCATGACCCTAACATCATGAATGTAAAACGAGAATGCTACAGAACACGGTGAATTACTAACTACAGAACTAGTTGTAAATATTTAGATTTCTTAAGAAAATTGGAAACGAGAAACAAGAAACGGGAACGTTACCAAACGGGACCTAAGTTTTTTTTTTCCCTCCCTACCAAGGAATTGATTTGAAAAAGAAAATTAGACAGGGTCTGGGGGAGTCAGATACATACTGTTAGCATGTTACAAAAGATAACCAACAGTTATTGATCCGGATAATGTGATATCATGAATGAAATTTTAAATGAGAAGGAAACAAAAAAAGTTTTGGTATTACTATCACTTCTCATGAGCCCGATGAAAAATGATGTACTTACAGAGAGAAGATCAATGCCAGCGGATTCAAGATTTGGAACTACAGAAGCCAGATCCTGTGCAGGTAGAGACTGCGTGAATTCAAGCTTTTAACCATGGAGTAGAGCAAACCAGAGAGTGAAATTTTGGCAAGATAAGAGAATAAATGGAATTTAATTCAATCACCTTAGGAGGCCACTTGGGGAAAGCAGACTTAAAATCAGGCAAAGATGTAACACCAGGCCACGTATCTTCATTTGGAGTTCCCAGAACTCTTTGTATTCCCATACAAGGAGGTTAATGAAAGCATGAATATGTTAGCATAGACAGACACATAATTAGAAGAGAAATATTGCTTTAGATGCTAGCCTAACCATACTAATATTGAATAACACGAACCTGCTCTCGTTGCCTTTATTTTTCAAATTCCCAAATCCCTCTCCTTAGAGGAAAAAAGAAAGAAGAATAAAAGAAAATAAAGGAAAATCCACCCACCAGGGAAAACACCTCTTCTCTAGATGAAATAGAGGAGAGAAATTTCATTGGAATCCTCCCAACTGTATCAAATATTATATTACGACACCGACAAAATATCAGGCTAGTGTATAGTCAACTTAATTCGGCATTATCATGATTATAAATGATCTAATTTGGTAAGTTATGGACTAAATCTTCGCAGAGAGTGAAGGACAGACACACTGTAAAGCTACTTACCTAAATATCTTAAACAATTCATCAATCTCAGAGTCCCCAGGGAATAATGGCCGCTGGTTAACCATCTCAGCAAATATACAACCCACTGACCACACATCCACAGGGGTGGAATAATGTCGGGAACCAAGTAATATTTCTGGTGCTCTGTACCAAAGTGTTACCACCTATATAGAACCTCCATTAGTTATTAACTTCAGAATATAACAATATAATAGATTAACACATCAAAGAAAACGTAAATTAGATTCTTGGAGTATTTTTTTTATAAATAAAATAATCAAAATTTGAACCTAAACTAACCAAAAAAACCATATAGATTGATTCCATACAATCGAGACTAACACGTTTTCTAAATCTTACAATAGTTTGGTATCATAAAAAATGTTAATGGCCTAATTAGGAACATTCTACTATCATCAACTGCAAAGAAACCCATTGGGTTTTTCCTTTTGAATCTTTTTGGGGGTAAGAAAATCAACAACTTAATTTTCTCATTGAATTATTTTTACGAGGAAATCTGAATGTTCTCATTAATAAGATGATGAAAATATCTAAAACCATCAAAATACATGAATGTGACATTGACAGACGTCAGAAATCTAAACCTCTCCCGGAGATCATGTTCTAAAGCACACTTCTGGCAAGTCCTCTTTCAAACACGGAAATATAGCCGATCCCCAATTAGGTATTTTAGCTTCTTTACATGGTAAACGACCCAAAGGCTTACTGAACATTTTTCAAAAACTTTAGATTAAGGTATGATGTTGTCATTCTTCTGGTTAGTACATAGGCTCAGAAAGTTGCTCCATGGTTCAAGGGTTTCAATAGTTCGGGGAATCCAAAGCTAAGCATTCCTGCCAATGTTTGTCATTAGATGAAAAACATGACCCTAAACTTACCTAGCCAGTTTCCAAATGGCTCCCGCCTACACCCATTTAATGAAATTCTCCTCATTAGTTATGATTATCTGAAAGAACAACCAACTACACATCATACTAGTGCTTCAAATTATGTTTCCAATATATATATATATATATATTTTTTCTTCTGAGAAACAGTTTGTACCACTATGTTTACATTTGAGTGAAGGTAAAAGAAAACCTAAGGATACAAATTCAATATATCATTATACAATCATGCAACGATATAAAAATTCACAATATGGAAAGGATGAGATAATCATCCAGTGTATATCCATACCTCATGCGTGAATGTTCTAACAGGAATACCAAATGCTCTTGCCAGTCCGAAGTCAGCAAGCTTCAGGGCATTGGTACGACGATCTATCAGTAAATTTTGTGGTTTTAGATCTCGATGGAGAACTCTATGAGAATGACAATATGCAATGCCACGAAGAATTTGGTAAAGAAACATCTGCATAACATCAGTGGAACAAAATTTTCCATTAGAGAATCTCGCTGCATCATATTTGTTAACCCAATAGCTAGAACAAGATCAAAGGAAAATATCAGGAAATGAGAGAGGGAAACAAAAATAAAGCTGAAGAAATAAGCATCATGCTGAATTGATAAGGAAAATATTGTATAAAAACTAATTCTTAAGATCAATTAGGAAGAAGAGGGTATTGCACATACTAAAAAGGAATTCCATGACCAAAATTGATATAGCCATTAAGTTGCTTGAAAACCATGAAAATACAATGATTAAGAAATCCACGAGTCTATGAAGTCAAATAAGATTTGAACCTCATGGAAAATTAAAATATGATTTTCTACGGCTAACAGGATATTATATTGATTAACCAATCCGCGCTCTAATGTTAAAATATAAAGAAAGAACAAGATGTATTTAATAACATAGAGGGCAGATAACTACAAACGGAAAATGCAATGCAATCACTCACTTTTATTTGACGTGGATCCTTTGAAAATTCAGGAGAGGAATCCATGTGCTTCTTCAAATCCAAATCCAGATACTCAAAAACAAGATACAGGCGCTTCTCGCTGTGCACTACATCTTGTAACCTATTGACAACGAACCAATAGAAGACTATCTTGTCATACATACGTAGAACTAAGAAGCATCACAGATAGCAATGATTTAGTTTGCAGGTCAAATTCATCATACACAGAGAAAAGGTACATCATCCCCATATTTACTTGTCCAATTGCAAACTATTGAAGAAAAGATAATGAATTGAACGCTCTGTTTTTATTGGAAACTACATGTAAGACATCTCGGTCTTAACTACATGATAGCAATAACGGAAAGTGAGGCTGCCTTTGAGATGTTAAACACAGACACCTCATAATAAACAAGTCACAGATAGTCCAGCCAATATCCGTGAATAGAATATGTACTTTCTATGTAGGGAACCCGGAGATATTGAAACTGACATTTGCAGCTGCTTTTTTGTTGCAACATTGTCTCCTGACACTACACTTTTCAAAATAAAGGCTCCTTAAAAACTCAAACTAAATTAAAAAAAAAAAAAAAACACTCATACATTGAGCAGATTGAAGAATCATGTTGTTTGCCCTTAAAAATGGAGTTATATCGAAGATTAGACGACCGGAATTGGTTGAACGAGGGTAGATAATTAATAGTGATACGTACCTCACAATGTTGCCATGCTGCATTTCCTTCAACAGTGAAATTTCACGAATGGCTGTGCTTGGCACTCCCTCATCTTCCTGCTCCAAGCGGATCTTCTTCAAAGCAATAGTCTCATTTGTGACACGATCGCGTGCCTTGTAAACCACACCATAAGTTCCTTCTCCAATCTTCTCAACTTTCTCATACTATGAAGCCACAATTATCGGAAATAAGAACATGAATATTGCACAAAAACGAAACAGAAGAACACATTTCAGCATCCAAAATCATCGCTAACCTGCTCCATCGAGTCGAAGAAAAGTGCCGAAGTTCTCAAAGCTTAAATCCTACAAAGAACAGCATAAACGACGATGTAGATTTAGTGCAACACAGACCATATAATATATAAACAACAAAATGATGATAAGAAAGCGGGGAATGTCAGAAACGCCAATGAACACCACTGAAAAGGCGAAGAAAACAGATTCGCACAAGTCAAGGATCGGATCCGCGTTGAAATGGAGTCAACTCAGTCAGAGTAGACTCGATTATACTCATTTGGACCACATTGGAAGCAAGCATTTCGGAAACGAAGTTTAACATCGAAATCTCTCCAATCAATCGCTCATTCTCTCTTCTTTCCTTTAACCATTTTTCCTTTCTTGGAAGTACCAAATTACTATTAGACCAAAAAGCAAAGTGCAGCAAAAGTATCTGCTAACTAAATTAAAGAGAGAATAACAAGAACAGATAAACTAGAGAAGCAAGTATAAACCTGCGAGAATCAAAGCCGAACCCGTCGGAATCGGGGACGGTCTCGAGACGGAGAGAGGCGCAGTAAAAATGGCGCCGCAGAAGAAAGAAGAAGAAGAGGAGGAGGAGGAGGAGGAGGGGATGGAAGGCCAGTGGGTATCTAAGTAATTTCACGTAGCTTAACTTTTTTTATTGGCTGCTATTAATTTTAGTCTTTTTTTATTATTATTATATTTTGCAATTCCAAATATTATAAATTAGTTTTTTTTGAACATTCAGCCAAAAAAAATCCATTTCATTTGTTTTTAACCCGCGTGAAATTTTAAACTTCCAATCTTGAAAAAGAGTATGAATTATGGTCAGATTAATTTTAAATTTTGTCTAAAAAATTCCAAGTATCACACAAATTTGTACTAATATCAATCCCCTAAAGATTGGAATATAAATCTATCATCTCATATCTAACTAAAAGAGAATATCCAACTTAGACCAATAAATACACTTTGATTAAAACATATATTTATAGGTTCGAATTCCTACCTTGTTGTTATACTAAAAGAAAAAACAAAAATAATTATAATAATAATATGGTTATTTATTTATTTCTACTTTTTGTGAAAAGAGCTGCCACAGCTGCTGCCTCGGCCAACCAGGTAAGCGGCTATCGCATATGATCTGAACG